CTGATTGTATGCAAATCCGTGTTTTGTATAAGTCTATCCTAGGCATGTGGGTGTGTAATATGTTTAGGCATTTGCTATGCCTTCCATTAAATTTAAACAACGACCAAAGGTAACCTGGAGCATTTTGGGATAATATTTCGTGAATAAGTTTAGCCTGATTAAAAAGAAGATGTTCACAAAGTGGTGACAGCATAACACATTTATATGGTCACTGTACTTTGTGTGCGGCTCTCGAATTACCATACATCTTAAGGTACAAGAAGGCAAAGGTGAGATGATGAGATAATATCTTCCCAACTGCTGGGAAACCCCTCGAGCCATCGAAATAGTGTGACAAATAAAGTCATTGTTGGTCAATCACGGAAACTAGTAATGTATTCTGTTCATATTCTCTAACTGTGGGTTCATAATATACCTGAATAGCGAAGAAAACTTTATTTTATGGGTGTCCAGTTGGCCATAGCAGAGCTGAGGTATCTGCTATCAAAGAGAAGTTAGGAAATTTACAGCGATGGGCATTGGGATGACTTGTTTGACATGAAGTCTGAATCTTGACCAACGACAAGGAGAAGGAAGGTGCCTCCTCCTCTCTGGTTGCCAACTGGACACAATCTACCTGTTCATCCACCAATCAGGGTTACATAAAACCATGAATGCAGGTACTGGATTTAGCTTGAGAGGAGCCGACAGGTACTTGTTTGTCATGGTCTATTGTTCCCCGACGTAAAACAGAGGGTCACACTGTCTGGTAGTCTGGTGGTCTTAGTTTCAGCTTCATAGCAAACGGGTCACCCCATCTTTGCTCCGCTCCTGTGCCAACGAAAAACATACAGAATGTTTACCACAGTCCCTTGTGGAAAGATTGACAGACTGCTGTCTCAGCATATCTAGCATACACTCGCATTAAAGCATACGGTAGCCATCCGAAGTGCTAACAGGTGAACGCAGAAAAAGAACAGTAGAACAAGGTTTACATACCACAATATTTCAGTACTCTCTAATGGGCCTTCTTTAAAATTTTTTTAAATATGTTTTTGCAATAATAACAGCGGTGAAAAAATATACAGGGGTAATAAAAAAAAATATACAGCATGTAGTTTAAAAAAAAAAAATAACTGTTCAACAGTTACTGGTGTTAGCATGTGAGTCTAGAAGATCAACTTCACTGCACCAAATTTTATCCTAAATGGCTCAACCTCTCTATGCAAAATGACCTGCAAAATGACCAGCCGTCTCCAGGAAGAGTCACGTAAAGTACAAACTCCAGCCGACAATTCCTAGGGATCTCCGTAAAGCTGGCACTCCTGAACCAAATGATGCAGTCCATGAAACAAAGACACAATCTTCAGAGCATGAAAAATATAGCTTAACCACTTAGTCCGGGAGACCCCCAATTTAGATAGACCATTTTGTTCTTTTTAATTCATATTCAAATCTGCAAGTTAACTCTTTCAGTCCCAGTTAGTCTTGAATTCAACAATGTCTCTGCTAACATTTGTTTTATCTGTCTCTGCTAACATCTGTTTTATCCAACAGCAACATGTTTTTAGTCTCATAAAGCTGTAAAATACATCTTTGGGAGAGAAGATGTTATAGTTTCATCATCATCATCTTGTAGTAGGTCCTGTGCAGAACGTCACTCTCATCACGGTCTGCCTGAAAGAAACTTGGTCTCTTGCCAGCTCCTCCGCCTGATGCACTTTCATACTCAAGGAGTCACTTATATCCTGTGCCCATCTACATGTTGATCGGCCCCTGCCCCTCCTTCCCCAACTACCCTTACTTGCTCTGCCATCATTCTCTTCCCCTGTTTGTGATCTGCCTGGCCTGGGGGGCCTCACCCTCAGATCTTTGAGGTTCATTTTTTGCTTCTATGATATGATAAGTTTCTTGGAATAGTTATAGTTAGAGTAACAACAGGAAAACAGGTGGTTAATATAATATAATAGAAAAAATGGATAGGAAAAGTGAAGAAATGTGTACTACACACAGTGTGAACAAAGAATGTATAGGGAGTTCCTTGGTCCTGAAAGAGTTGATTTCCATAATAAAAGAAGTATTTAGTCAAAACATATGATGTAAGAAGTCTTGCAGGATTAAGAATAAGAATCAGCATGGTAAAAGTAGCCTTATGCAAGAAGGAAAACATAGTAATAAAAAATACTTCAGCTGCAGTGAGAAGCAGGAATGCTATATACAACCTGTATTGTTATAAGTAGAATCAGCTTTTAAACAGCACCCTGCTGTGACAGCTGAGGTACTTTAGCCATGGTGGCCTGGAGAGCACGGTGATGAAAGGTACAGTTTTTGGAAAATTAGGTAGAGGTAGATCTCCACAAAGGTGGCTAAAAGATGCATTGGCTATGAAAGTACACACGACTGGAGAAATGGCTAGAGAAAGAGAGACTTTCAGGCATGCTGTGATAAGAGTGTCTTTCAGTCAAAGACCTGCTGACTGATGATGGGGACTATTGAAAATAAAGTAAAATACCTTGTTAAAACCTTTAATACATAAGGCATCTGTGCTAGACCCATTTGAAAAAAAAAATGCATCAACTGGCACTTGAAGGGTGATGTGGTCAAAATCATACTCGTTGCTTTTACTTTTAAGGACATTTTTCTTGCACTTATATTTTTTAGACTGGGCCCACCTTGGAGTCTATCTCAGTTATAAAATCCACCTTAGAAGCTGATTCCTGTCCAAGTCCTTCAGGCCAGCATGTATTGTTTTGTGCTTGTGAAAATATGGACAATAAACAAACAAGCTGAAAAAAACACACATCTAATGTCAGTTGAAATGTGGTTTCTGAGGGAAATGCAAAGAATATAATGCGTGTAAAAGAAAACAAACTGGGGCAGTCATTCAAGAACATGAAATTAGACAAGTCAAAGGCTCCAATTTGTCAAGGGGAGAAAAAAAAGAATATACATCCACTGCTCTTTAACAAACATGTCGTAAAAGGCGACCAACAAAAGATTTGATGAAACTGGAAATGTTCTAGGGAAAGGTGCAGATATCACAATCTAGTAGCAAACCACAACACAATGTATCATCCTTTTAAGGTCAAACAGAGAAGAAAAAGAAAAAACAGTGACAATTCTGTGGAGATGTTATGCGAAAAAAAGGGGGGGGGGGGCCTGATGTACATTTGAATGGGAAAAAAGTAAGAGCAAAATACAGAGAACAAATGTCAAGGTACATTTTTGGATGTCCTGACGAGATGGCATATGGGGCAAGAACACAGGCTTGATCTGGAACTTTGGTGGTCAAGTGGAAAGGTTAAGCATGATAGCCTGTTTCTCTGCATGGCACATGACGATGGTTAGTTAATTCCAGGTTTAATGTGACATGTTGTGATTTGTCTGTTTAGTAATGTGCGTGTTGGACATTTCCATGTGTCTGCTGGATGTAGCATCTGACATCAGCTAGCATATGCTGGGGATCTGAACCCTAGCCATAGGTTAGAATTATTTAGATGACCTTGCAAGGCAAAGCTATTCATCTGAGTTTACTCAGGGACCAAAATTGGGATCGACAGGCAGGTGGCCTGAGCCCCAGCATAAAAAGATATATTTTTACAACATAACTGGCAATGATTCATGGGCCACTTGATAAGACTTCTGCAGCCCAGATTCAGCTCATAGACCACCAGTTGAATAGCCCTGCTATAAGTCATCAGTAAGTGCTAAAAAGAAGGTGTTATTTGGTTGCAAGCTTCAGAAAGTGGCAATGAAATATTACAAAAATCACTGAAATTTTACAAAATTGGCAGCAACATTTCACACAAAAGAAAGTCAACTTCTGTAGTCACATCATACTGGTCCTTGTCTGATATGGTTATTATGGTTGTGTGATATGGTTTATGGACTTCTTTCACGTAAGACATATTCAAAGCAAACTAAGGACTTTCGATATAAAGTGGACAAATGGCATTAGTTTGTGTGCAGGCTAATCAGCGCGCACGGATAACATGGTCAATATCAAGCTAGCCTTCATTACTTTCGCAGAATATTTCCTGGTAATAATTTTAAGCTAGCTGACCTCAGAGAACAGGCAATGTTATTTGTTTATTCACATTCACTGGCCATGAACTTCGGAAGAAAGTCCTGGCTTTTGGTCTGTCTGCACTTTGGCTTTGTGCCAGGAAATAAGTTTTGTGTGTACATCCACTTTACTAGCTTATTTGCGTTCAGTATGTTGTTTCTTGCCCCTCGGGCATATGTATTCTGACTTCGGAAGGAGAAGTCAATTCTATCTCTAGGATGACTGTAGCCATGTCAATAAAATTAATCCTTATCTGAGGATGGATTCAAACATATTATCATGACCTGAATTAAGAATCCTAGCCATACATTATCTTCTTCTTTTCTTTCTGCAGCTGCTTCTTTGATAGGAAACAAGGATTTCTGTGTTCTCCTTCTAATGCGTTGCATGCTTCTCCATATGACATTATGACAGCTCCATAAAAATGAAACTTATTGTAAATCTGATATGTGACTCTCATATCACTTTCTAAAAGCCAGGAAAATGTTTTTTTCAAAACTACCCACTGCCGGAATCAAACCCTAATATCTCCATGTGAGTTCTGGTGCGTTATTTTGTGGGGGGGGGGGGGGGGTGGAGAACAGACCCACTGTGCCCTAACCAGCATGTCATAAATGGTGTCTCATTAGGGAATGTTTCCCCTCCAAGTAAGGAGTCCATCTGCCTGAGAGGCGAGCAACCAACAGTCTGCCTCCAAATAAGCCAGATCTGTAAAATGGAAAGGCATGCAAAACTCAAGTTCTGGAACAAGACCAAAGTACAGATGTGTATGAAAAAAAAAACAAAAAACCTTAAAAAAGGTTCAGGATTATGATGTGAAACCTGTCATTAACTCACCCACTAACTAACAAGAGGCACAGAACATTGAAAGCACATCCAACGAACAAGATTACCGGGAAATCATATTTTCAAACAAATCTGCTCTTTTTGACAAGTGCATAACACAAGTCAATTGTCAAAGGTTTAAGTCCTGGCTGACGAAATGATACACAAATGCTGATTTCTTGGTTTCCTCTTCTCTCAGTCTGGACCTCCGGTCCTTGACAGAGGCTTGACCTTTGTTAGGTGTTGAGAGTGGGGGTGGTCGCAGCATGACCTCTCCAAACATGATGCCTATAAGAGAAGACACAATGACAAAATTAACTTCTTCTGTGGTCACCCTTAAAAGGGCAGATGGCTTGCTGTGGTATGATTTACAGCTAGGCTTATTAGGTCCCATCAGCTGCCCCCTGAAAAATTTGTTAAGGCCCCTAGCAACAATCTGCAAACGAACGAGACAATACTGGAAATATCAAATATGTGAGTCTCCATGATCATGAAGGTCACGGGTCTGTTGCATGGCTGCATCATTTGGTTCACGAGTGCAATTTTTTACAGAGATCCCTGGAGATTGTTGCCAGAGCTATGGAGTTTGTGCTTTGTGCAGCACTCTCTGCAGAAGGCTAGCCATTCTGCGAGAGAGAGACAAAGCCATATGGGATCAAACCTGGTGCAATGAAATCAATCCTCTTCATTATTTTTAAACAGCATTCACTGGATGTGTCTCTGCTGTGTTAATGATGAAGTATATAGGGGCGAGCAAGGGAAATGGTTTCACAATGCAATTCTTTAATGTTTATCAGGGTTTGATTCTGGCAGTGGGTGGTTCAGAGATAATGCAGCATTATTTCTGATGAGAGGATCCGAACCCAATAGCTTTGGGCCAACTGGCCACCATGTTACTGCAGCTTCCCAATCATGAACTAGCTCTAAAAAATTCTTTTTTTTTTCCTTCCGTTTTCCAGTCAAGGCTACTAACTGAATGTGTGACCACCCTGAGATTACAAAATCTCAACATGGATGACAAGACAGCAGGGCAATTCTCAGACACCTTGTTAAACCTCCAAAGAAGTTATAACTGTAACGACTACACCAGCCTGGAGCCTGGTGCATCATGCAGTCCTGTGTGGATAAAGATTACTTTGCTATATATCTTCTTACTCTTCTTTGGCTGTAAACTCTGTAGAAGATTCTGGTTGTTCATCCACTTTTGGACTTTAGTCTTGTTCCAGAACTTGAGTTTTGCATGCACATCCATTTGACAAATCTAGCTTATTTGTATGCAGACTGTTGGTTTCTTGCCTCTCAGGGTGATGCACTGCGACTCTGAAGGAAGCTATATAAATAATTTTCATGGTAACTGTTCCCCTCTAGGATTGCTATCCAAAAGATTAACATCTCAAGTATGAGGATGAAACAGGAGCAAATCACAGAAACTCTGGTCAACTGTATAACAGATTTATTATATTGAATGTTGAAGTAAAAATCCACATCACAGCATTCGGGACACTCCCATAAGTGCTCCATCCCCATCTTTAGCAGCAAGTGAAGAGTTCCAATTCCAATGGTACCAGTAACTGATTGTATATCCGTCTCACTTTCCCCTGAGTGTTGACACTCTGCCAGATCCCCTGGCAACTCCCCACAGCGCCATTCTCCTCAAGCCCTGATGATTGATTTGTTCTTCTCCACTGTTTAATTGCTTCCAAAGGGCCCTCACAACATCTAGCTTGTCATTCATCAATTTCCCACCAAGTGGTACAGAACCGATCAGTCAATTTGCCTGCTCGTTTCCAACACACCGGCACAAATGGAAGAAAATGTTATGCCACCCCTGTGGTTTCAGAGTAACCGGTAGTTCTGCAGTTATCACTTTTGAAATGTGTAAACAATCAATGGTAGCACAAACTGATCAAACACTTACATATAAACTTTGGCTCCAGGCCATTTTTAGCCGAATGTTGTAGAAGTTCTCTCAGGAAAGCACAGATATAAAGAAATGTATTCTTGTGGCAATCTGGCAAGTGAGAAACTATCTGAAATAAAATGTATAAACATTTAAATATTAATGTTCTTATGGTAATTTTACCACTTTTATTTTAGGTCGGTGTAGGATATGAGAAGTCTTGAGCCTGCACACTTGCAGCCAGATGGCTAGTGATGTTACCACAAACTGTGAAGGTTATGATCTAGTTTTAATTTTGCCAGGTGGCCATTTTTTAAAACAACTGAGAAAACTGGCCTGTTTACAATAATTTACAACAACTGCCTTTTTTTTTTAACAACATAAAACTGGCTTTTTTTTTTAAACAATGGCTGACAAATCAAACCCATTTACAACAAACTGAGAAAACTTATCTGTTCACAACAACAGAAAACTGGCCTATTCATACTGACAGTACTGACCTGTTTACTGAGCATCAGGTTATTACAACTGGCCATACACTGGGAATACAAGTTGAATGGTATCACGGGCTGAGCTAAGCACTCCAGAAACATCAGCAAAGCTTCAGCAACAGAGTGGACACTCAGGTTGTCAGCTGAACAAATGTTAAGGTCAATGTTTAAATTTACAGCACATCCTCTGTGCCTCAGACAATCAAATAGTCCTTCGGATGAGACTGTGAAGGAAAAGAGCTGCTGAAAGATTTAAATATATATGTGTAAAAAAAAAAAAAAGACCAGTCCTATTAGAAGATATAACTCATGAAAACAATACTGGAGACAAAAATTATGGCAAGCAAGCAAGAGGTAGACAGTGATACAAATGGAAGGATAACATCAAGATATGGATGAGCAGCAGTCTGACAGTGCACATTTAGGGCAAAAGAGTGTTTTTGAGATTCATTACAGCCAACCTTCAATGTTAAGACAGCATATGATTTTTTTACTTTCTGTGCCTTAATTCAAAATATACAAAGGAAACAATCGCGCTCAAAATAACACAAACTTTATAAAAACACTCAGTCAAAAGTAATGCATGTAAGGGTGGGTGGGTGGGTTTTGTGTGAGAGAGAGAGAGAGACAGAGAGAGAGAGGGGGGGAGGGAGAGAAAGAGAGAGGGAGAGAAAGAGAGAGAGAGAGAGAGAGAGAGAGAGAGAGAGAGAGAGAGAGAGAGAGTTTAGAGACTAGTGAATGTGTTTACCTCTCTCTGCCTGCCTTATTTACTCTAAAGGAGACATAAAACCAACAGATATGAAACAAAACATGCTTCAGAAGTTAAAGATCTGTGTTTTCTTTGTCAGTTCCTCACAGCTTTCCTCCTAGAACAACTGTCAAATAAGGCTAAGGACCTGGCCTGTCCTGCCACAATGACAGATTTTCAGGTTGCATTTCCTAGGAAGCAGAAGCAACCATTATACTTGACAGCTCCATCGCATGTGACAACAATCAATCATCACATCTGACAGCTACCCAATCAAGCAGCAACCACAACCAATATGGACAAATAACAGGCAAGGATACGAATCCGATCTGGTTTTCCTGTGTCCAAGCAGTCCCTGATAAGCTGTATCTCTGAATTCCTTCCTGGCTGTTGGAAGAGGTCCTCCTTCATAATAAAAAACACATTATTATTATAACAGGGGTCAAAGTTTCTTGAAGAATGATGACTCAGTATGAAGTAATGTACTAATTTCATCTGTCTGAAGGAGTTGTGTACTCAATTACATACAAAGACAGCAAATAACTTTGTTATGCCCACTTAGAAAGAATGCCTTGCAATGCCATCTCATACAAGGTATACAGCAAATGAGGAGAGGGGCCTACATCATGAGGTAGACCAAGATCAAGATGGAAAGATAACATCAGAGAAACTACAACAGTACAGTGTCTTGCGAGGTAAATGCAACTGGCACAGCGTTGACCACATTAACCATCAGGTGCCAACTGGTCTTTAAAATATATAGATCTAGCATTATTTGCCCAATACTTAAAAAAGTGTCTTTTACTTATCAACATACATGAAGCACAAATCATGAATCCCTTAAAATGAAAAAAAACAAATCCCCTGCTACACTGTATCTCACCAATAGAAGTCTAAGATCAACCTCAAAACTACCATGGTGGTGTAAGATTACCCACAAGATCCTTTAATTTAGATAACTCAGGACTGTTCTTTAGTTTAGGAAACTCAGGACTGTTCTTTAGTTTAGATAACTCAGGACTGTTTTTTAGTTTAGATAACTCAGGACTGTTCTTTAGTTTAGATAACTCAGGACTGTTCTTTAGTTTAGATAACTAAGGACTGTTCTTTAGTTTAGATAACTGAGGACTGTTCTTTAGTTTAGATAACTCAGGACTGTTCTTTAGTTTAGATAACTGAGGACTGTTCTTTAGTTTAGATAACTCAGGACTGTTCTTTAGTTTAGATAACTCAGGACTGTTTATTGATTGTGACAGACTCAAAGCCAAGTATTTTAGGTGATTATATGTAACATGCCAGAATTCTTTTTTGAACCTCCACTGACGAGAATTTATGGCATAAGACAATTTTTCTAAAATACAATTGGTCCTATTCCTATTCTATTCTTTGAGAGCCATGACAGCACAGTGGGCAGCATACTTGCCTGCCGGGTAGGTGGTGATTCCATACAGAATTCTTCTTCTGTATTCATCTCATCCATCAAAGTGGGTTTGAGATGTTATGGTTTACAGCTAGGCTGCGATCATGTGCCTTTTGGCTCAACACATACAAATTCAGCATACCTATTGTCAGCTTTTACAACATGCTTTTTAGGGATACAGTGGATCTATTCTTTTTTCACAGACAAATGGGCTCTAGAGCCCACATACCCACATAGGGGTTTACAGGATCTGACTATGAATCCCAAATGAAGCAGATTTTAGAATTAACATGGGCTTACTAACTGACCAAGATAAATCTCCAAATGGGGTCTAGTTCCGGGCAAAAGTTATGTGGGAAGAAGAATAGGTCCACTGCCCCCCCAACAGCATGTTGTGAAAGTCAACTAATTAGGGTTTTCCCTTCAAAGTTGGAGTGTATCTACCTGGAAGGCAAGGAGCCAACAGTTTACATACATTTAAGCCAGATCTGTAAAATGGATGTGCATGCAAAACTTAAGTTTGGGAATTCTGATGCTCAGAGGTTAGAAAATCTTATGTATGTGGCAAGAGTGTTGTTTCTGAGAGACAAAGCAATGCAGTAACATCTATTCATTTTCTCTATTTGTTTTTCTTTGTTTATCTATTAATGACATGACTTTAAAAAAAAAAAAAGTCTACACGATTGGGCAGAAAATATCTGGCTGGTCCCCACCAAATTTATGTGGACCAGCGATGATTTGCAGACCTCAAGTTTATGCCTTTCACCACATAAGAATTTAAAACAAAAAAGACTTTTCTCAAAATTTCGTTAAAACAAACACATGCTTATATTTCTCTAACACTCTTCTCTAAGAAACTAGAGGCAACGTTCACTTGTTTGTGTCTGTGATGTTATGACGCCAGCTGGTTCTACTTTCGTCTCGCTTGATTTTGTTTTTAGAAACTAGCGGAAGAGAAGAAGAAGCAGAAGAAATCTTAATTCGAGGTCAGTTTTTTTATGAAAATCCAGGGGGATGAAACATATGAACACAGAGCAGACAGGCAAGTGTGATCACCAGTGTGACATTGCTGGCAACAAATAAAAAATAATTCATATTCATTATAAAAATCAACTTTTATAAGTGAAATAATTCTTTAAGTATTAAAATTAATCACTAAATACAAACAGAGCAAATAATTAACTGCTCTCCAACCTTTTGATTGTGATAAAACATGGCTTTGTTGATTTAGCCACGTGCAGCAAAGTTACACCATAAGATTATTTTGATGTCAAAATATTTTTTATGCGTTTTGTTCCCTCAAAATAATATACATATTTTTAGGGTGAATATGCAGCTGCAGCCAGTACCAAAGTTGTTTTATAGGTGTAGTGGTAGCTGCCCAATAATTGCATGTCAAAAACCCATAAATGTCGGAAAAATGGCTTTTCCTTTGTGACAGGGTTAAGAATATGTCAGAGGATGGCCAGCATGTTTCATTAGCCCCAGCATACCAGGGATAGATTTCTGTAATGCAAGGTTCAGAAAAGGACTGTCCTTGTAGTTTTCAGACAGTGCTAGAGTTGCACTGTGGAAGGTTTTAGAGCTCAATCACGTAATGTACCCACTACTTTTGCAGCAGTGGATGCAAAAATAAGCTGCAGGCAACTGCCATTGCAGTGAAAGGGAAAACAATATTTAACACCTACCTTGTCTAATCCATTTCTATGTAAGAAGTCAACGAGCTTCCATATTTCCTTCGGCACCATGTACAGTCGCCCGCCATCCTGTGCTATGTCCAGCCTATTAAGACTCCCAGGTTGTTCCTGAAAGCGGTGGGTGATCATTAATTTGTGAAGAGAAATATGAGTGCAAAAGTTTAGAGCGCAAAAGTTAAGACTGCAAAAGTAAAGGGCGCAAAAGTAAAGGGCGCAAAAGTAAAGACTGCAGAAGTAAAGAGCGCACAAGTTAAGACTGCAGAAGTAAAGAGCGCACAAGTTAAGACTGCAGAAGTAAAGAGCGCAAAAGTTAAGACTGCAAAAGGTTTAGAGCACAAAAGTTAAGACTGCAAAAGTAAAGGGCGCAAAAGTTAAGACTGCAGAAGTAAAGAGCGCACAAGTTAAGACTGCAGAAGTAAAGAGCGCAAAAGTTAAGACTGCAAAAGGTTTAGAGCACAAAAGTTAAGGCTGCAAAAGTAAAGAGTGCACAAGTTAAGACTGCAAAAGTAAAGAGCACAAAAGTTAAGACTGCAAAAGTTTAGAGCACAAAAGTTAAGACTGCAAAAGTAAAGAGCACACAAGTTAAGACTGCTAAAGTAAACAGCGCAAAAGTTAAGACTGCTCCCAGGTTGTTTTTGAAAGAGGTGGGTGATAATTAATTTGTGAAGAGAAATATGAGTGCAAAAGTTTAGAGCTCAAAAGTTAAGACTGCAAAAGTAAAGGGCGCAAAAGTAAAGACTGCAGAAGTAAAGAGCGCACAAGTTAAGACTGCAGAAGTAAAGAGCGCAAAAGTTAAGACTGCAAAAGGTTTAGAGCACAAAAGTTAAGGCTGCAAAAGTAAAGAGTGCACAAGTCAAGACTGCAAAAGTAAAGAGCACAAAAGTTAAGACTGCAAAAGTTTAGAGCACAAAAGTTAAGACTGCAAAAGTAAAGAGCACACAAGTTAAGACTGCAAAAGTAAACAGCGCAAAAGTTAAGACTGCTCCCAGGTTGTTTTTGAAAGAGGTGGGTGATAATTAATTTGTGAAGAGAAATATGAGTGCAAAAGTAAAGAGCACAAAAGTTAAGGCTGCAAAAGTAAAGAGTGCACAAGTTAAGACTGCAAAAGTAAAGAGCACAAAAGCTAAGACTGCAAAAGTAAACAGCGCAAAAGTAAAGAGTGTCTTCTGAAGTAAATGAAGGAAGTGAAGGAGAAAACAAAGAATATATTGTGTCCTTTTTGTTGAAATACTTACAATCTCCAGAAGATCAGCTACTGGCACTTCTCTGATTGGTCCATGCATCTGAACAAGGGCTTCTATAGAGGAACCAAAAGTACTGCTCAGGAAGTTTCCACTGACCGTGATCTATGCTTAGTTAAGACTTAACAAAACATTGAATAGATAATTTACAAATACAACACACATAAGCAACAGATGCATCAACATTAGTTTTACAAAACAAAGTAAACTCTACCGATAATTCAGTTAGAGAAGCCATACTAATGTCTGGAATATGAGTTGAAAACAGAAATCACAGAACTTGGGACATTCCCATTATATGCTCCATCCCTATCTTCAGCTGCAAGTGAAAAATTGCAATGCTAATGGTACCAGTAACACTTTTCATTTATATGTTTGTCCTGCCTTTTCTCTGAGTGCAGAGTCTTGGGCAGTAATATCTGGAAAACTGCGGTAATCAATAGTTATAAGAGAAAGAAGATAGAGATAAAATGGGTATAGACTAAGATAAAGTGACAAAGAATCACCAAAAAAAAAAGGCAGTGAAATGGAAAACAAATGGACTGAGGAAGCAAGGATGTGAAAGAGAGATCTCACAATACACACTGATGAGATGCTAGATAAGCTTTATACATGATATTTGAAAGAAAAAAAAACACACACACACATATCGCGGTAGAGAATACAATGGGAATGGAGGAACTGACTGCGAGTTCTACATGATCTATAGTGGCACAATAGGGCATTGAATGAATGACAAATTCAACTGTGGGTTGTTGAAATACAATGACAGAAGCAAGACTTAGTGTACACTAACTTTCACAGTATGTTATAGTTCAAGAGATGTTCATCTTGGTCCCATCTACTCTTCATCATCATCATCTTAAATTTCATGCTGTGTGTTATCAGTCCTCAGGTCCGTCCCCTAACTTCTAACATATGTACGGCCAATAATTTAACCTGTTTAAATCGCAAGTAATCACTGGCTTTCGAAGGAAAGGGGTGGGAGAGGGGGGGAGACAGCGACTTAAAAAAAGGGCATAATGGACGGCAATGGTTGATGCACAGAGAGAGAGAGGAGGAGGGAGGGAGAGAGAGAGAGAGAGAGAGAGGCAGATAACAGACAAAACTGCTTACAGAAAAGTGCTGAACAGGAGTAGGCCACAAGGGCAGACCAAAAAGATGGAAGAGAGAATATATGGGTAGACCTTCACACATCTGGAGTGAACAACTGAAAAGAAAAAGACACAGAAATGAATGGAGGCAGGTTCATTTCCAGCCATTCAAGAAAACTTTCATAAATGATGACATGAAATATGATACTTTGGTAGTGGGCTTGCCCAGAACGAAGCACCCCAGGGTCTGTACAATCAGGACAGAGTGCTAGGCCCAGATGTTTTAAGCAAAAAAGCATGTGTGGGGGGTTACGTGGTCAGAATCGCACTAGCGCTCCTAACTCTCTGATTATTTTCTGGTACCAATTTTATGAGGCTGGATTAAACCTCAGCCATGTGACTATATAATCTCTGCAACCCATGATGTGAACCCGTGACCACCAAGTTTGGCAGTAAATGAACAAACTTCGGCTCTATCCCAGTAACTCACCCTAGATGACGTCACTAGACAGTCCAATATTTTTGAGAGTGGTCAGAGAGGGTTTCCCACTGCCTGTGCATCTTCCAAGGTGTTGCAAAGTTTTGGTCTCGTTTCCTCTGTTTTGGCGCGTTTCTTCTGGAATTGACAGCATCCAAACCTGACAAGGACAGCTGGGTTGCTTTCCTGCAACATCATGTCATTCTGCATAGCACCAGACATTGTGGCAATAATCATGTGATGGTGTTATTACCTGCGTAAAGGCAGGACCGAAAGGCGGTGTTGAAAGTCGACCTGTTGTCTGGACATACCATTACGGCAAGGACCATGGCTGGAAGGGTTGTGCCTGCTGGTGAACGCTAATAAAGATGATGAAACAACTTTTTAAACCACAATAATTCCTAATCAAGTAAGAAACAAACTAGAAATATAATAATAAAAGGATACAAAAGAATCTTTGCCACCTGCCAGATGCAAGACAAGAATGTCTTCTAACTTCTCTTCACCAGAGTTGAGCTTAGCTACTGTTGCCTTGTCGACATACACCTCCACGGTCACCTCACAACATGACCCTGTGAAGATAACGAACAGTGAATACCAAGTTCTGACAGCAACATAATATATGAATAGCAAAATGCTTTCTAGAAGGAATGGGTTAAATTAAATCTGGTTAGTGCTGAAAGAAATACGGGTGAATGCAGAAGAAGAAGAAGATGAAGAAGGTGAGAAGAGGAAGAAAGAAATAATGATGAAGAAGAAAAAGAGGAGGAGGATGGGGTTGAGGAGGCAGGCGGAGGAGGAGAAAGAAGAAGAAGACAAAGAAGAAGAAAAAAAGAAGAAGAGGAGGTTAAGGAGAAAAAGAAGGAGAAGAAAAATCTTTCATCCTCTTTAAGAATTCTGGCTAAAATTATATGTGTTAAATGTATGTGAAAAGTCACCATGGGGTTCAGTGCTATATATACAAAGATATGCAGGGTAATGTAGAAACTCCCACCTGCTTGAATGTAATGTTTGCTAGGAGTAGCCTTTAGCCATGGCTTGCAATAGGTTGGATCATCAAGTTTGTTGATAAATTCAAACTCCACTGGCACCTGGTGACACGAGAAACAATGAAAAAAAAAAGCATGAAGTTTATTGATAAACTCACGCTTTACCTCAAATAAGGAACAATATACAAACATATCCTAATTACTGATAAATTTAAATTCTATTGATACCCAATGAAACAAGGACTATGGAAAAGATTACTGATAAATTCATAACTTTACTAACACCTGGATGAAAAACTATGAAAAAACATCAAGTTTACTGACAAACTAAACTTCAGGTAGGATCACACCAGAGCACCAAGTATGAGCTCTGCATTCATGGAAGAAGCCTCCTTGGATGGCCCTGCCTATTTCTGAGGGCTGACCAGGATACATATAGTTGTCCTACACAGGCCCACCAACCGCGGACTAGACGGAAAAGATGATGACACAACAATGGAGGTTGTGCAACGTGCCACAAAACTAATCAGGAAAGCTATTTTAGACAAAATATGCTCTATGAAACTGGATGTGTGGGCCGGAAGGCATAAATATCTCAGCTATGCTGTAAACAGGCACAAAGCAATTTCGTCACTCGGACGAATGGCAAAGAAAATGATAGATTCAACATACTGGCAACTGATGAAACAAGGATCATGGAAATGCAACCAAGAATTTTAAATGGTGTTTAAAGGTCAGGATACGGACTCTTCTGCAACAGGTTTTATCAAGTGCAGCTAAATATCTCTCATCAGTGGCCGACCAACGGATGAAAGCATCATACATGAGCACAAACTCTAGTTCTATGATGATCCACAAGGATCCTCAAGCATCATACATAAGCACAAACTCTAGTTCTATGATGATCCACAGGAATACTCAAGCATCATACATAAGCACAAACTCTAGTTCTATGATGATCCACAGGGATCCTCAAGCATCATACATAAGCACAAACTCTAGTTCAATGATGATCTACAGGGATACTCAAGCATTATACATAAGCACAAACTCTAGTTCTATGATGATCCACAGGGATCCTCAAGCATCATACATAAGCACAAACTCTAGTTCTATGATGATCCACAGGGACACTCAAAATACCTGAACACAAACAATAATGGTGGAATCCACATAACCATCTCTCTATCCATCAATGTTGCCAGTCAATCTTGTCCTTGTCATGACATGTCCAAAAACCACAGACTGTCTATGCCCTATGTCTAATTTCTCTCACCAGTGTAAAGTTTTCACCTGTCTCCAGGAGGACTGGCTCATTTGTATTTCTATCCTTCCCCATTCATTGCAAGCTTCTCAATAACCACACCTCTGCTGCAAGCAGGTATTGTTCACTTTCTCTGCTTACTGTAAATGTCTCAGATGCATAGAACAACACAGGTTCTAAGCAGCACTTTTAGCGTGGTTAGCTGAATTACATAATCACAGAAAACAGATAATTCAAACAAAATGGTATTTACCTGGCCAATGTTGACAACGGTCACAACCTGGCTTTGACTTTCAATGAACTTCACATCTTTAAACACACACTGAAACCAAAAGTGACAAATCAATGAATGTGATCAAATGTATTCTAAATACGCTGTACAGCTGTTTTATGTTCACTTCTTTGGGGGGCGGGAGGGAATAATAAACTTGGGAATTGCAGAAACAATCCTTGAGAAAAATGTTTTATACAGGTCACTTATAAATTAAGACACATCCAATTTTTTTTTGAAGGTTAAACATGAGAGGATCAACTTCACTGCACAGGGTTAATCCCAGTCTCTTTCTGCAGAACAGCTAGCTGCTTGCCAAGAGAGCATCGCACAATGCATGAACTCTGTAGCTCTAGCTACTATCCCCAGGGATCTCTGGAATTAAGAACTCCTAATTAGTCCCCTTTCCTGACATGCTTGTTAGGAGAACAGGGAGCTCTAATATTTTTTGGGGGGCCCAGAACCCAGATGGGCATGGTGGTGCATCAGAACCAGGGCCCAGAACCCAGATGGGCATGGTGGTGCATCAGAACCAGGGCCCAGAACCCAGATGGGCATGGTGGTGCATCAGAACCAGGGCTCAGAACCCAGATGGGCATGGTGGTCCATCAGAACCAGGGCCCAGAACCCAGATGGGCATGATGGTGCATCAGAACCAGGGCTCAGAACCCAGATGGGCATGGTGGTACATCAGAACTAGGGCTCAGAACCCAGATGGGCATGGTGGTGCATCAGAACCAGGGCTCAGAACCCAGATGGGCATGGTGGTGCATCAGAACCAGGGCCCAGAACCCAGATAGGCATGGTGGTACATCAGAACCAGGGCTCAGAACCCAGATGGGCATGGTGGTACATCAGAACCAGGGCTCAGAACCCAGATGGGCATAGTGGTGCATCAGAACCAGGGCTCAGAACCCAGATGGGCATGGTGGTGCATCAGAACCAGGGCCCAGAACCCAGATGGGCATGGTGGTGCATCAGAACCAGGGCTCAGAACCCAGATGGGCATGGTGGTGCATCAGAACCAGGGCCCAGAACCCAGATGGGCATGGTGGTGCATCAGAACCAGGGCCCAGAACCCAGATGGGCATGGTGGTGCATCAGAACCAGGGCTCAGAACCCAGAAGGGCATGGTGGTGCATCAGAACCAGGGTTCAGAATGGTCAAGAAGCACACACACTCGACAGCAATCCTAGACATCGGTTCCCAGTCGAGGGCCAGGCCAAAGTAGACAGGACTAACATTTCCTTTGAAGTCCAAGTGCATCTTCCTGAGAGGCAATGAACCAATAGTCTGCACACATATAAGCCTGATCTGTAAAATAAATATGCATGCTAGACTCGGGTCCTGAAACAAGACAAGTCAAGAAGTTGGGTGAACAACCAGGGCTTTCTGCCAGAGTTTACAGCTGGTGAATGCAAAGAAGAAGATGAAGAACAACAACTGAGTATCTGGGATTTGCGCAACTGGTCTGCCATACAGAAGGAGATCTTGTGACCTCAGGGTGACAAACCTTCAGGTAGCAGTGTGAAGAAGAAGAAAACAGAAATGGTTAGAGAATGAGTGAAACTGACCTCTGTTTTGTCCAGTTTGATCTGTGGTAAATAGTCATTCTCAAGACGATCAAGGTGTTTCATGATGTCTTCATATACCTTTTTATACAGCTTCTGATCAATAACCCTCACCTGTAAAGTAAAAAGAATGATAAAATGTTAAGTCTTCCTCTTCTTAGTGTTCATGAGCTTTTAACTCCAGTGGGAGGTTCTGGTTGCATGACCACTCATGACCTTCAGTCTTGATCCAGAACTTTGGGTTATATTTTGTTTGTGCACATCCATTTTTTTCAGATTTGGTTTATCTGCATGCAGACTGTTGGTTCCTTGCCTCTGAGGCAGCTGCACTCAGACTCTGAAGGAAATAGACCTAAACAGTCGCATCCTACAACATGCTTGCTAGGGGGGCAGTGAGTTCATTCTTTGTTCTCCTAAATGGAGCCCTAGAAGCCACCTGGGAAATTAACTTGTTCAGTACCAAGGAACTCATGACACATTCATTGGTCACTCATATATGGTACACAGATGCAGAAGTGCTGAACCACACATTGTGGTCCACCAGGACCAGGGCACAAACTGACCAAAACCTCTCTACACTTCTCCCTGGTCATCACAGAAACAGGATTCCATCCGCGGACATGGCCAACATATATAGGATTGGGACATCTTTTGAAGTCACGAGTGCAGGAGAAAGGTAAGGAACAACACTGCACTCAAACCAGCCAGATCTCAAAAACGGATGTGCATGGAAAACTCAAGTCCCAGAAAATAACCAAAGTCCAGACATGGACAAATAAGTTTAAAGCCAGTGAGTGAATGCTAAAAAAAAAAAAAATAATAATAAGTCACACTGGTCTCTATGTCAGAGTGTGAGAAGCAGGTGTTGCAAAAATACAAATGCTCTCTTCTTGGTCTCAGACTTTTGGTGACAAGCCAACAATGACTAGTGTTATGATTTCTTTATCACTTTATTAAAGGACTCATAATACGGCACATCAGGAGTCTCACATATCTGTTGTAGTAGTTTATAAGTACATTAGCAACATATAAAGTCATGAAAAAATGTAGCTAACTAATCTGGTATTACAGTTCACAATAACACTAGCTATATTTATAGTTGTCAACTAACTGTAACAGACACATATGTTATGGCAGTTCAAAAATAGCACTAATAATATACAGAGTTATCGGTAAATATATCAAACTCAGCCGTCATGACAGTTCAAACTTCCCACTATTAACATGTAGAGTGATCAGTAAATATATCAAACTCATCTGTTATGACAGTTCAAACATCACTTGGGCCACTCTAAAAAACTTCTAAACTTCTATAATACTGCCAACGCTAAGGGACACTTGTCCCCAAAATTAACTACAACTGCCCTTTCTACAGCTTTAAATTAAGTACCCTGTCAAACCGTAGCAGTTTCACTGAAGCATACCAAACAAGTCACAACTGTCCACAGGCTTGCTAAACTCCCAACTGTCTTTGTCTGGTCTACCTGCTGTTCAAGTCCTCTAGTGAACTCTCCTCACCTGTAACATTCAGTTATCCTTGTACCCCCTCTGGGTCTTGTCTACACACAACCTATCTGACCAGTAAGTGTGCTGTCTGCTGTTATGAGTGGAAGTATAGACATTGTTTGTCCTTCCTTCTCCTTGTGGGGTAACTCAACTCATTACACTCTACTCTGTCTAATCCTTCTGTTATATTAGTTTAGTTTACCTCAATTGTTTCTGTACTCTTTCTTCCAAAATCTGTTTTTTTTTGTCTACCAAACTTATAAGACAAGGGATGACACGGGATTGTTTTATGCAACCATACACATAGGCGTCCGATCTTACTACCCAAAGTCCATATGAAAAAAATCCCAGCCTTCATCGGGGCTTGAACCCAGGACCTCCAGCACTCGAGGCGGACACCATGCCTGGAGACCAGGCAGCCCCCCATAATGACATGGTAGAGACAACAAGACTTACCCCTACAGTAAACAGAGAGCTGACTGGCTTGTGGTCTGATATCCTCAGTTGAGGGTGTGAGTTGTACCTGTGTTGTTTCACATTGGGCCCCCTCCACAGGATGCGGTCACACCAGGCGGGAACTCTGTTCTTCTCACTTTAACAAGGGAAAACAGAAAAAGACATCAGAATATTATCTTCTTCTTCTTCTTCTTCGCCTTCACCAGCTGTACACTCTGGCGTAAAGTTCTGGTTGTTCGTCCACTTCTGGACTGCAGTCCTGCTCCAGAACCTGAGTGTTGCGTGTGCATCAGTTTTACAGATCTGATTCAATTGAATGCAGATTGCTGGTTCCTTGCCTCTCAGGCAGATGTACTCCGACTTCAAAGGAAGCTCCCCAGTTAGTCGACTCTTACGATATGCTTTTGGGGAGGAAGTGGGTCTATTCTTGTTTTCCCCACAATAGGGCTCCGGAACTCACACAGAGGATCAGAATTTTATGAATTAGTATTATTTACTATTTTACATCACTACCTTCAGTTTCCTTACTAAGGTGGGGGGGGGGGGGGATGTAAAGATCTTCTGTGTGCTTTTTCAAATGAGTTGCATTAAGTTGACCTTAATTGAATGAGCACTCAATATTTTGAGGAAAGTAAAGATTACAAATGAATAAATCAAAAAGAGTCAGGTTAGTAGCAGTATTAGATTTTCTTCAGAATGCAACAAGTAAAATGGTATGGTAATTTAACCGGGCTATCAACAGGCAGTACACCACAATGATGAACAATGATGCATTGTAAAAGTCAATTCAAGTAGAAGATCTCTTTTACCTGAGTGTGGCATACGATGCTAGGCATATCTTTACTGAGGAATCTGCACTGAGTGGTNCGGCAAAATGTAGCAAACTAATCTGGTATTATAGTTCACAATAACACTAGCTATATTTATAGTTGTCGACTAACTGTTACAGACACATCCGTTATGGCAGTCCAAACATAGCACTATTAACATGTAAATATATCAATCAGCCGTTATGACAGTTCAAACTTCCCACTATTAACATGTAGAGTGATCAGTAAATATATCAAACTCATCTGTTATGACAGTTCAAACATCACCTGGGCCACTCTGAAAAACTTCTAAACTTCTATAAAACTGCCTACACTTAAGGACACTTGTCCCAAAAATTAACTACAACTGCCCTTTCTACAGCTTTAAATTAAGTGCCCTGTCAAACCGTAGCAGTTCCCACACACTGAAGCATACCAAACAAGTCACAACTGTCCACAGGCTTGCTAAACTCCCAACTGTCTTTGTCTGGTCTACCTGCTGCTCAAGTCCTCTTGTGAACTCTCCTCACCTGTAACATTCAGTTATCCTTGTACCCCCTCTGGGTCTTGTCTACACACAACCTATCTGACCAGTAAGTGTGCTGTCTGCTGTTATGAGTGAAAGTATAGACATTGTTTGTCCTTCCTTCTCCTTGTGGGGTAACTCAACTCATTACACTCTACTCTGTCTAATCCTTCTGTTATATTAGTCTAGTTTACCTAAATTGTTTCTGTACTCTTTCTTCCAAAATCTGTTGTTTTTTTTCTACCAAACTTATAAGACAAAAGAAGTTCTTGCTTTAAGGCATTCTTTCTCAATTTCAGGCCAATGCACACCGTGGACCCATGGAATAAATTAAAGGGATCCCTGGAATGATTTAAAAAAAAAAAAAGGTAGAATGCAAGTTTTTCTTTTTCTAATATAAATGTACTTTTTCAGGGTTTCTAAAAGTATGAATTTTAAAAATTTTGGCACCCGTGGCAGACTGTACAAAATAAGAGAGGTCAGCAGGAATTAGCCAACTGGGAACCATTGCTCTAAAGCATCCAGACAATGCACTACCAAAGCATGACAAAGTTAAACAATGACAAGGTTTAGGTTTAGACGACGGATCCTGAAATACTTGAGGTAGATTTTTAACTTCAAATTGTGCCCAGGCAGCAGTGTTAGGCTACTCTTTTTCGATTTCCTATAGTCAAGGGATGAGATGGGATTGTTTTATGCAACAATACACATAGGCGTCCGATCTTACTACCCAAAGTCCATATGAAAAAAATCCCAGCCTTCATCGGGGCTTGAACCCAGGACCTCCAGCACTCGAGGCGGACACCATGCCTGGAGACCAGGCAGCCCCCCATAATGACATGGTAGAGACAACAAGACTTACCCCTACAGTAAACAGAGAGCTGACTGGCTTGTGGTCTGATATCCTCAGTTGAGGGTGTGAGTTGTACCTGTGTTGTTTCACATTGGGCCCCCTCCACAGGATGCGGTCACACCAGGCGGGAACTCTGTTCTTCTCACTTTAACAAGGGAAAACAGAAAAAGACATCAGAATATTATCTTCTTCTTCTTCTTCGCTTTCACCAGCTGTACACTCTGGCGTAAAGTTCTGGTTGTTCGTCCACTTCTGGACTGCAGTCCTGCTCCAGAACCTGAGTGTTGCGTGTGCATCAGTTTTACAGATTTGATTCAATTGAATGCAGACTGCTGGTTCCTTGCCTCTCAGGCAGATGCACTCCGACTTCAAAGGAAGCTCCCCAGTTAGTCGACTCTTAAGACATGCTTTTGGGGAGGAAGTGGGTCTATTCTTGTTTTCCCCACAATGGGGCCCCGGAACCCACACAGGGGATTAGAACTTTATGAATTAGTATTATTTACTATTTTACATCACTACCTTCAGTTACCTCACTAAGGTGGGGGGGGGGGGGGGGGGGGGGGTGGGGGGGGGGGGAATGTAAAGATCTTCTGTGTGCTTTTTCTAATGGGTTGCATGCATTAAGTTGACCTTAATTTCTTTGCGACTGTTCTTGATGATGCTGTTGTTGCAACGTCTGCAAAGTCTTTCCCTTGCTCTGGTGTACTGCCGTTCTCTACAGCTTGGCTCTGTGTGGCAGCTGATGCTAGGTTATTCTCATCAGTTGGCCCAACTCTGTGCATCTGTTGCTCTTTAATGAATTGTATGGCTGTTTTCCTAGTCTTCTCAATTCTTTATTTTTAATTTGTATCTCTTCTTGCGACTTTGGCAGCTCTTTTCTCATCTCATCTCTGCTGTTACGATTCTGCACATATTAGCTGTATGTAGCAAGGCTTCATCTTCAACACTGGTGGCATAAACTTGGCCAACTGTCTTGGTTTAATTTACTGAGCGTTATTAGTTTACAGTTTGAAGAAGCAGAAAGAACTGTATCAGACTGGAATCACACAAATACAGAGAAACCAACAGATAAAAAATCACTCTATAATCTTTTAACCAACTCTGTGCTACCACCAGTGAGAATGAATCTGATGACACTGGCAGTGAGACAGTATAGTATGTCATCGGAAACACTGAGAGAAAGAGGGAGACCTAAAAGAAAATGGATCAAAGGAGTCACTGACATCCCAAGACTTCATAACATCACAACCTACCACTCGCTCTAGCTCGGCCACCTATATAAAATGTGATGCCTAACGGTACAAAGCAGATTTTGGACAAAAATACCAGACTTGGACAATGAGAGAAATTACATTTGAGGATAAAATTCCTGAGAAGAGCACTCAATATTTTGAGGAGAGTAAAGATTACAAATGAATAAATCGAAAAGAGTCAGGTTAGTAGCAGCATTAGATTTTGTTCAGAATGCAACAAGTAAAATGGTATGGTAATTTAACTGGGCTATCAACAGGCAGTACACCACAATGATGAACAATGATGCATTGTAAAAGTCAATTCAAGTAGAAAATCCCTTTTACCTGAGTGTGGCATATGATGCTAGGCATATCTTTACTGAGGAATCTGCACGAGTGGTCATGGGGTCAACATCCCGACTGTTGCTTTTACTTCCCATGATATTATATAATCGCCCACAGCTGGGATCTAACCTGGTATCTTTGAATTACAAACAATGTTTGCATCGCCTAAGCCACATGTGCTGACAAGCATGTCATAAAAGGCCGAAAGTGTCTGCTGAAATCAGATGTATTGGGCTGAAAACTGGAGATATCATTGCCTAACTGTAAACCACAACATAAAAATGCTAACTGCCCTATAAAGGTGAATGTTTGAAGAATGAGAACCCCCGTGTGGGTTCCGGGGCCCCATTGTAGGGGAAAACAAGAATAGACCCACTGCCTCCCCAAAAGCATGTCGTAAGAGTCGACTAATTGGGAAGCTTCCTTTGAAGTCGGAGTGCATCTGCTGGAGAGGCAAGGAACCAACAGTCTGTATTCAAGAGAATGAGATCTGTAAAACTGATGCACATGCAACACTCAGGTTCTAGAGCAGAACTGCAGTTCAGTAGTGGACGAACAACCAGAACTTTCCGCCAGAGTGTACAGCTGGTGAACGTGAAGAAGAAGAAGATGAAGAATGAGAAATAAAAATTGCGAAATGTGTCAAACCCTTACCTGGTATCATAATTGTTGGTCCCAGAGTCAAACTTGTAGGTGGGATCAAACTTCGGAGTACCCTCCTCAAATCCCTTAAACACATCAGAACTTGCCTGAAGGAGACCGTACAGCTGAAATAATATAAATGCTAGAAATGAGAAAAGTGGAAACAGCTAGATGATTCTATTCTGAAAAATTGAAAGCATATTTAAAAAATAACAAAAAAAAACAAAACATTTTCAACTGTCACAACCTTATAAGTACAGTCAGTGTACCACACCGTAAGGTGTGCGTGTTGAGGTGACACCCCAGGGTTGACACAAAGGTCAGGGCCGTGACTGGTCAAGTCGGTTCTGTTATTGCACGGTGAAACCAGCTCTCAGGATAAAGCGTTTGGCCACGGCAAGAAAGAGTGAACGTTGTTGGAGACAAGTCGACAGCACAATGACCGCGGTTGGGACTTGAGCTGGACCGGGGTCAAGAGACACGAGGTGGAGAGAACACAGGACATTCGGTGTGCGACGGTCAGAGAGGAAGCAGACGTTTAGCAAGACAGTGATAGGAGATGAAAGTTAGGATATTTCTGTTAGTGACTGGATAGTTTATGTACAGTGTTCTGTTAGAATAGGATAATTTTTGTGTAGTGTAATTAACTGGTACCAGGTAGCGTGTTGTTCCATAAGAAGTGAATAGGTTCTAGTTACTTCTGACCAGTTAAATCAGTTGTGTACATGTTCTGTGAGAGAATGTCTAACCTTGGCACTCTGACCCATGTGCTAGACAGAGGCTGTGACAGTTTGGTTGGTCAGTGTGTCGATAGTTAAGAGCGTATCTCGTGACCGTGTGGTTTGTACACCAGGAGATTGCTTGTGGAACGAACTGGGAGCGAGGCGACTGTAAAGCTCGTTCGGCCAGAGGGTCCAAGCAATAGGTGGCCACACAGCGGGAAGTCAACTGTCTATTGTCTTACCTGTACTTACAATAAAGATTGTCGTGTGTGCTCTGTGTGCGTTCGGGTTCAGTGTGTGTAAAAGGTTAGTCTGTCTGTCATAGGCCCAGTTACGAGCCACGGACCAGCAAGGTCACCCAGAGGTCTGTGACATCAACATTAATTTAAACAATTAGTTGCGCATCTGCTACAGGATGTTGCAGAACCAACCCTAACATTTTCAGCTATTTGTAGTTTTACTGGGCAATTTGACATTCAGTAGCCTGCCATAACTTTCTGAATGGTCGATTCTTCACACCACTGTCAAAATTAACACAAAGCAGTCTGCTGCCAAATCACCTGCTGATGAAATCGAAACAGGGTATTTTAGAATTACAAAAGAATGTTCACAATGTCTACGCTACAGACACAGTCAATGTAACAAAGTTTAAAAAAAAAAAAAAATGTGTTGAAGGGAAAAAGGACCCTTTTATGTGCCAGTGAGACATCGGGTATATGGGGTTAGACCTCTATGTTTATAGACCAATCATCCCTTGATGGGTGATGTGGTCAACAAAACACAGGCTGCCTTTACTTTCCAGGATGTAACTAGTTACACATTTAGGGTGGACCAACCTACAAGGCAAGGTGAATCTTGGAAGAAATAAATCTGTCTCAATCTAGATGTCAAACTCACACCTTCTGGTTAGCAGGTGAATGTCTAGCCACCACAACTCACAAATTTGTAGCAGAACAAGAAGAAGGAGTAGAAAAAAAAAAAGAAGAAAGAAGAAGAAGAAGCAGCAGCAGCAGCAGCAGAAGAAGAAAAAGAAGAAAAGGATAAAGGCACAGGAAGGAGAAGGATAAGAAAGATCAGTGGAAAAAACCTGGAAAAAAACTGACATCCACCCATGTACAACCAACAGAATGTAAGTAGTACCTGATCTTCTTCCAGCAAACGAGTGTACATCTCCTTCTTGATGCACGTCCTGACTTCATCAATGGGTAGATCGATGCGGTAATTCAGGTCCCCAATCCAGAAGACAATACTGCCAAAACAAAATAAACCACCAAGGTACTCAGTCTCTCACAGATAGGTGACCATATCTTAGTCGCGTTTCCTTTACAGGATTATTGCAGCACCAGCCTCAGAATGTTTTTTGGCTGTTTAATTTTTCTAGGCAACTTTACATTCAGCATCTTGCCACTGCTGCTTAAACATTCAACTCCATACCATTGTCAAAATCAACGCAAAAGCGGTCTGCTGCCAAATCACCTGCAGCTGGAATCAAATCGGGTATCTCAGAATTATGAAGCATATTCACAATGCCTTAGCCACAGAGTCGGTGATGAGAATATGTTATATAAACATCTAGGAACACAATTCTGGACCTCAACAACTTCAGCCGCATGAAACCCCCAAGCCCGAAAGGGTTTCGATTCCTTCCTCAGTATAAATCTCACCATGCTGCAACTTAAGACACCAGCTCCGTGCTGGTTTTGTGTTTTTCATTAACCTCCTACATAGTGCTTTTGTCTGGTTGCATCTCTTTTGGCTTAGATACCACAGTTTGATCAAGATTGCCGATTGAGTCAGTGTGGGTTTCAGGACCTGATTTTGCACACTTTGCGTGTGCGAGCCTCAAGATTTTCCTGGCAGTGACAAGTTTATCACTAGGTTTTCAAACGAGACAGTGACAAACATTTTGTGTGATTTCTGCAATGAGGGGACTTGTCTGCTATGAAGCTGGAACCTGAACTAACGACTAACTAATGACTAATCAAGTGCACTGCTGACTGGTGTAGATAATTATGTCTTTGACCATCTTGCGATCTCCAACAGCATGTATGGCTTCATGTGCCGACAACCCTCAAGGCTATTACAATAATGCTGTCAAGAATTTTCTCTCATCGCATACTAATTCCTCCAGTTGCCACATGCTCCTTCTTTATCTTCTCATACTGTGCCCCCCCCCCCCCATCTTTTTGATGTCTGTGATAAGCTGTCTTCTTCCTTTTCTTCTTCTCAGCACTCCTGGATGTAAACTCAACTAGAAAGTTCTGGTTGTTTGTCCACTTTAGCCTTGTTCAATAACTTGAATTGTGTGCACATTCATTTTACAGATCTGGCTAGCCTGCATGCAGACCGCTGGTTCCTCATCTCTCAGACAGATGCACTATATATTTGAAGGAACAACATATTCGGGGGAATCTGACCCGGAACTCCAGGGAATAAAAGTTGTCTTAGTTCTTAGACTTAAAAAAAATATATAGATTACTTTTTCTGGCAGTCCATATAATTAAGAGAGTAGTGCAATTTTAACAGCCTCTTGTATGAAGAGTATTATTGTAGTGTTACAAGAAGTGTATTAACTCATGCATGTTTAGAGACAGTAACACAGTTTTCAACTGCAATACTTTAATTTATTCATGCCTATTTATTACTCATTGTAACATTCTCTGGTTGCAAAATTAGCAGTTTAGCTCACTAATATCTGAATGTAGAACAGCATAACTAAGATATGTCCAAATAACACAGCTTAACTTAGATATGTCTGACAATAACACAGCTTAACTTAGATATGTCTGACAATAACACAGCTTAACTTAGATATGTCTGACAATAACACAGCTTAACTTAGATATGTCTGACAATAACACAGCTTAACTTAGATATGTCTGACAATAACACAGCTTAACTTAGATATGTCTGACAATAACACAGCTTAACTTAGATATGTCTGACAATAACACAGTTTAAGTGAAATATGTCTGAGATTTAACATGCATATAACGCTTCCTAATGCCCGGGTGCTATGTTCGATCCCAGCTGCAGGCCATGCGCCTTGCGTTGGTTTTGACAGTAGTACCAGGGAAGCAGACTACCCAGAAAGTAATGGCAAACTACTGGACGTAAATTTGCCTAGAGAAACCACACAACAGCCAGGCGTAACGTTCTGCAACATCCTGTAAAGGATACGCAACTAACCTAACTGATATATGTTTGACAGTAACATGATTTAACTCAAATATGTTTGACAGCAACACAGTTTAACTAAGATATGTCTGTAATTTAATAGTTTAACTGAGATGTATCTGAGAGTAACACAGTTTAACTCAGATATACCTGACAGCTACACAGTTTGACTAAGGTATATCTGAGAGTACCATAGTTTAAATGATATATGTCTGAGAGCAATATAGTTTAACTGAGATATGTCCATGGTTAACACAGTTTAACTAAGATATGACAACTCATTCATGTTATGAGAGTAATACAGTTTAACAAGAATGTTTACTATGTTATGACATTTAACACAGCTTAACTAAGAAATATCTGAAAGTAGCAGTTTAACTAAGAATTGACAACTCACTCATGTTCAGAGATCTCCAGGGGTGGTTCAAACTGTTTGAATCTTGTCCTACTCATAATGTCCCGATAATCCTGGATAAACAAACAAAGCAAGTATTCCAAATAAAGGAAAAGATAAAGCTAAATTGGCATTACCAGAAACTTGTGACCTATTTTCAAATTTCATACATCAATCAGCACTCGACTGGTGATGAGGTCTATACAATAAATCAGGGAACACTGCTTTGGTGATTCCAGGGCTATTCCAAAAACAACCTATGATTGGATGGTGCAAATAAAGCCTCTGCCACAGTGACACCATTTACTGCTTGTATCATTCAGCAATCTTTTAGCTCACTACACACCAACCAACAGTCACATTTTTTGTTCACTAATTCACAAATCGCAAATGAATAAACATGGACAGTGTTATTGCCTTTCCTGCCAGCTGTAAAATTTGTGGTGTTATTCGGTTTTTTTTCCCAAGCAGAAGACCAAAGTAATGATGAGATTCATTGACTGTTCTGATAACGTTGTGAGCAGTTTAAGTGAGAAATTTTGAATTCCCCCCCAGGGCCGGATTTGCAGCAATCAATTATCATCTCTTCGGCAAGATGAAAGTCTGGTTGGCTACTCAGTGCACTGACACCACCGAGGAGCTCATGGATGGAGTCAACAACTGGCTACGTACCCCGGCGGTGACGTTCCTTGATGAGAGGTAACAAAAACTTGCATCAAGGTACGACAAGTTCCTGAATTTAGGTGTTGACTATGTGGAAAAGTAACTCAGGGATGTATGTAACTTTTGTATGCATTTAGACGTTACTGTCAATTTGTTTTACATTTTTACCAGCCAGTCAGAGTTTGATTCTAAAATAGCACTCATATATGAGAGCATAAGGTTAGCATCCCATGCCTGGAACACATCCTGGCATGGAAGATGTATTTAACTATAACTTACTATAATTTCCAGCTGCTGTTGAACCATAGCGAAAAGAACCCTTTGGACCCCAGTATCCCATCATGCACTGGGTGCTAAAGATTTATTTTGTATACATCAGCATCATGTTTGCTGCTTTTACTTTCAAGAATTCCTGGTGCCAATTACAAATCTGAGTCAATCTGGGAGCCAATATGGATTTGAATGCAAGACCTTCATGCCAGTAGCCAAGCATTTAGCATCCTACTGGAATGACGAAGAATATCTTCATCAGTGAGGATAAAACATAGGACCATTTATTGGTAGGCAACAGTACAAACTACTTAGACACCCAGCTCCCTGACTGGTTTTGGGGCCCAATTGTGGCGGGGAAAAATAACAGTGTCCCCCCTCCTCCCTCCCTCACAAGCAAATCATAAAAGGCAACTAATTAGGGGTGTTTAGAGTCAGAATGCATCTGCCGAGAGGTGAGGTCTGCTTACAAATAAGCAAGATTTGTCAAATAAATGTGTATACAAAACTCAAGTTCTGAAACAAGACCAAAGTCTAGGAGTGGATGAAAAACCAGAAGTTTATGCCAGAGTTTACTGCCGGTGAACACTAAGAAAAAGAAATAGAAGAAGAAGGACATCCAGCATGAAGAAACAGAGCATCCCTATAACCCAGTGCAGTGGTGCAGTGAGGTCGACGACTGTAGCATAATATAACAATGCAGTGGAATCTATTAATATAATGAGGAAACTACTTACAGAATTACGTCTTTCAAACTCATCCTGGTGAGCGGCCAGGTGTGAATTAACGAAGCACAATGAGGTGCTGTACAATGTGAATCTGATGGACACCCCACCTTTGTTACCCTGAAAACAAAAACAACAAACATAAAGGTAAAAACACAAATTTGTTGCCGTCTTATCATAAATAAAACAAGGTATTTGCCAGTACTTTCTATTTGCCAGTAAAATCACCTCAAAATAATTTCGTTTTTTGTTGTTGTTATCTCTTTCATCTTTTCTCTTTTAGATACACTAGTAACTTTAAATTAGAAGCACTTATTTGAAAGCAAACTAAGAGGAGGGGGGAAGGGTGTGTGCTGATAACAGAAAAAATAAGATGAAGAAGAAGAAGAAAAGGAAGAAGAAGAAACAACATTTGACAAAGAGAAGCAGAAATGATAGTAGCTAATCTCTGATAAAATAAACACGCAGGACTGACCAAAATACCCATGATCCCTGTAGGCACCGAATCAGAATCAATGTAACTGATGTTGGGAACATGTTTCTCCTGGATGTACACAATCAGTAAGACTCCAACCAGCCGCACTGACTTCACCTGCAATCCCAAGTCAAACATTCATCACCATCATCATCAACATAATGTGACAGCTGTAAAAGTATAAAAGTCTAGAAAAGACTGGAAAAGGATAAAGTTTTAGAGGTACAATTATAAGCAGCATTTCTATGAAACCCACGTAACTACAAGTGTTGAACACAATCATGTCACTGTCATGTGACAAGCATTGACAAATCCATAAAACAGCACATGCTTATCATCCCATGATGCAGAAGTTCTCTTTCTGACCATCAAGAAAATGGTGGGGTTGATCCAAAATCCATTCAAAGGTGCTCAAAGAGCGAGAATTCAGTTTCTTTTATTTAGAGGATTTTGACCAGTGGATATTCAGTGAAGCATGCAGGTAGCATATATTAACAAATGTGTGTCGGAGACAACAGTGACAAACTAGGCACACATGTTTTGAAAAGGATGTCAGTTCAAATGGTAAGAACAGGTTTCAAATAAATGCTCCTCATACAACAAAGAAACAAACATATGTTTGTCTAATTGTAAACAGATCTGTAAAGCTGACACATACTTTATGTTTTTCAGTTTTTTTTCTAGATCATCATCATCACTATTTTCCTTTTGTGCCATTATACATTACACAGAGCTTGCAGTCTATTCTTCCATCCCATTCTACATCAATATCACTGATGGGATCCAGTCCAGTACCTTTGGCCCCTCTCATCAACATCTTTCTTACAGGCTGTTTTTTGGGGGACTTTCTTCCTTTCTCCAGTTCATTTGTTTCTGAGATCAGTGTCTATTTGGTGATTCTGTTTACTTCTCCTCAGGATATGCCCACTGTTTTTATTGCCTCTTGTTTGTTGTATATATGTTGAAGTCAAATATTAAGGGATCTGTTTCTATGTTTCAGTCAAACATTAAAGGATCTGTTTCTCTGTTTTGGTCAAAAAATTAAAGGATCTGTTTCTGTGTTTCAGTCAAAAATTAAAGGATCTGCTTCTGTGTTTCAGTCAAACAATAAAGGATTTGTTTCTGTGTATCAGTCAAACATTCAAGGATCTGTTTCTATGTTTCGGTCAAACATTAAAGGATATATTTCTGTGTTTCAGTCAAACATTAAAGGATCTGTTTCTGTGTTTTAGTAAAACATTAAAGGATCTGTTTCTGTGTTTTAGTAAAACATTAAAGGATATATTTCTGTGTTTTAGCAAAACATTAAAGGATATATTTCTGTGTTTCAGTCAAACATTAAAGGATCTGTTTCTGTGTTTTAGTAAAACATTAAAGGATCTGTTTCTGTGTTTTAGTAAAACATTAAAGGATCTGTTTCTGTGTTTGAGTGAAACATAAGAGGATCTGTTTCTGTATTTCAGTAAAACATTAGAGGATCTGTTTCTATGTTTCAGTCAAAAACTAAAGGATCTGTTTCTATGTTTCAGTCAAACACTAAAGGATCTGTTTCTATGTTTCAGTAAAACATCAGAAGACCTCTTTACATATTTCAGTCAAGGCATCTGATGGCTGATGAGGTCAAAAGTAACAGTTGTTAGCATGCAACAGTGGCCATTCCAGCAGCCTTTGCAGCTTGCTTTGTCCGAAACAGAACTGGTGTTACCTATCCCTTGAAGTTAAAAAAGTGGGTCAAGAGAGGAATCATGCTCTATGGGCAACACACTGTCTCTACAGCACTGTCCAGGTTTTGTTCTATGGAGAGGCCAGACTTTATGCTGGAAATGATAAAGACAGCAAGGTGTTGTCAAAAACAATACTTTTATATTCTGAGCTGAGCTGCTTCTGACCTTTTTATACTTGGCCTTTGGGTGGAGGTAGGACATAACTGCATCCTGCCATTCTGCTTCCTTGGGAGAATCAGCAAATATAAAGGCTTCCTTACTGAGGTCCAGCTCCTGGAAACTAAAACAATACAAAAAGACACATGAGAAGGTGTGCCTGAAAATATAAAGTAAAGTCAAGGACCTTTTTTTAATGCCAGTGGCACACAGTTCTGTGCGGTGTTGGTAGTCATGTCTATCCACAACATTCTGTCTCGTGTTCTTACAGTCAGTTCTGACATATATAGTCTTAGTCTTAGTCGAGGTTTCAACTTCACTGCAACTGAGGTTTCCCCATACTTGCTCCGTTCCTGTGCCAGTGCAAATCAAATGAAATGCCCCTCATTGTTGCAGCTGAAAAACCAGTGAGCAAACAACTAGTCCCAGGATAATCCATAAATGTGCGCATGCAGTAAATGCATATTTCATGTTGTTGGTGGCGCCAAAGCCAACTTTCCAACAGAAATGCAGTTTGTCGTTAATGGAAGTAGAAACTGCATTAGCAAAGCGCTGTCGGAAGCAAAAATAACTTCGAAGCTAAACATTCTGCCAAGCCTTTCCTTCATTTTTGCCGGAAGTCAATATCTGTGTTTCAGTAAAACATTAGAGGATTTGTTTCTATGCTTCAATAGATGATCTTCCATGCCACGAGGTCAGACTAGCCAGCATTTTCTCTCTCAAGCTGACTCTGCCTTCTTTCCCAACCGTCACAATGTACCCTAGTTGTCTCTTTCTCGTGACATGACCAGAATGTCTCCTTCCGATGATTTTTCTTTGTGAGTCAGTTTCTTTTGAGAACATCTTCATTACTCTTTTTATCTGTCCAGGTTAATCTTATCATCCATCTTTAAAACCATGTCTAATAAAATCTGATGCCAGACTAATATTCTTTTGAGCAGGAAGGCGTCTACTGTAACTTTCATAACATGTGCTTGAAATGTTATTATAATCAGATGCTAACTCCATTACAAAGGTTGGCTACAGTGGATTCAACATTCTTTGTCTAGCTCAGGTTGTATGCTCTCTCAGACTGCTGTCCGTTCACGTCTTGATTTTATACTTCCCATAGCATCACTGTCTAGTTTAGTTTGGGTAAAAATCTTTTATTCTAGTGTAATTATTTTAGTGTCACCGTTTTCTTTGAAATAATAATTGTTTCAGTGTTCTTGATATTCAAGGGAAAGTAATTTTTTCCTTCAGAACTCTTTAAACCTGTCATCCCAAGTTTTTCCCTATTTATAGGTTTCTAATGACATTGGTCGGCTGCCACTATGCATATATCACAGCTTTGGTACTGGCTGTTATTGCTTGTATTGACATGGTGATCAGATGGCCTTTTTTTTTTTTTTTGTTTTGTTAACCGGCTGTGAATTTTGGCAGAAAGTCCTGGCTCTTCGTCCATTTGGACTTTTGGGCTTTGTACCAGGACCTGAGTTATGCGTGTACATCCGTTTTACTGGCTTATTTGTGCAGTTCTTGTTTCCTGCCTCTCAAGCAGATGTAATTTGACTTCGCAGGAAAACATTGATCCTCTTTCTAGGATGACTGTGGCCACTGATTTGTGGGACATGATGTTGCCTCATTTGTGTGCTGACTTCTCTGTCTCTTTATCTACAGATGTTGTCCCAGGACAACTGTGAGCAGACTGGACAAGCCCTCAAGGGAAGGCAGAGGCAGATCATGGTCATTCCTTGCCATCGTAGGAGGCTTCTATAAATGCACAGCCAACACATGACGCTCCGATTCTGGGCTCACCCAAGGAGTCGTCACGTCCTGTACATGACTGCCTAACTTCAAAACCGTATGTTTAGCTTTCCATAACATATATACACACACACACACACACAAAATGTGTATGTACACATTTGTATATGTGTATGTGTGTGTGTGTGTATATATACACACATATGTGTGTGTATATATATATATATATATATATATATATATATATATATATATATATATATATATATATATATATATATATATATATATATATATATATATATATTTACATATAATTTGCTATTTATATATTCATATATGCATGAGTGCATGTGTGTATGTATGCACATACACGTATGTATGTATGTATGTATGCATGCATGCACATATACACACAATAGCAATATCAAAACTAAAATCATATATATGTATTACCCGATAGCATATATGTCAGGAGGTTCATTATCTACAACCATCCACTTATTTAAGGGTTCCAATGGTGACCGGCCATTCACATTCCAGGTCCCACAAAACACTCTAGGAAAAAAAATAAAAAAATTAATTAACTGTTTATGTCAAGTACAAAATACTAAGTACAGTCATCTAAGGTATAACATAAAGGGAACAGATCTTTTATGTCTTCCTTCCTATTTGCCATGTACACACGCCAGCCACATTGTGTCAGTTTAGAGAGGAATTGAAATTGTTTGGCTAAAACATCGGAGATTGTGTTAGTTTACATAAAATGTCCCTTTTTTTAAAACAGAACAACAAACACTGTGTCAGTTTACAAGAAAACTGTCATATTTTACAAAAAAACAACACACTGTGTCATTGTGTCAGTTTACAAGAAGCCTGACATATTTTGGCTTAAACAACCGACTTTGTCTTAGTTTAAAAATGTGCCGCGATATTCTGACCAAAAACAACAGTTCAATAACTATTTGCAGAAAGTGAAATTATGTAACATGCTTACAAACGCGCTATTATTTTCTGGAACAAATGTCTTTCTTGGCATGAATATGAAATGACATCAATAGAGCTAGGCAGCTTTGCATTATTACAAGCATACACAACATGTGATCGATGCAGCCAGATAGCCTTCATCAACGCATTACAGGAATAGACAATGTTAAAATTACCAACAAAGATACACTAAATCATTTAACTGAAGTATCTAGAAAAGAAATCAACAAGTCTCTCCAACAAGCTGAAGCTCTGACATGCGTGTGAACAACAGAAATGAATACTAGTCATTAAAAGCTGTGGTAGGCAAGGGCCATAACTCAAAACTATCACACAAAGCTGTGTTGGATGTTACATCCCCTAGGCGAGTTGGAGCAGGTCCTTTGCAAAATGTCACTCTTATTGGAAAGCTACTCAGACTCTTGCCAACTTTCCCACCTCATGAATTCTTAAGCTCAATGGGAATCAATATCATGTGCCACCATCATGTTGGTCCTGCCTCCTCCTATTTCAGGAACATTATCTCCACTGCTGTCCACTCCAATCCATTTTGGTGTTCAATATAAAAAAAAAATATACAAAAACTGGCCAGAATGGGCTGACAGCGTCCTGAAGTCCTGCCTCAAGAAAATGTCTTGGCTGTGAACACCAGGAGAGGCAGGTGTGAATGAAAATTAAAGAGCTGACAGACTGGCTGTATCTGCAGTGATTAGTGAAGAAAGAAGTATGGACAAGGTAGACATTCTGAATGTGCTGTGTTCCAGAGACACTGAGACAAAAGAGTCAGATACAAATGAAATGCCTGTTGGAAATGGGTATTGAACGGGATCAAGCATGCAGAAACCAGCTGTGTGGTGAAGAAAAGATATGCCAATTAACTTCTACTGGGTATAATAAGTATGATAACACTGAGGGGGCTGTTGCCTAGGAAGACAGAGCAAGAATGGGTTGGACCAGTGTGTGAGCATGTTGATATGGACAACAAGTATTTCCGTTTCAGAAAAACACTAGTGCCTATGAGCCAGATGACTTCAAAGTACAGATCCTAAAGAGGGTCTGTAATTTTACTCCTTTTTGGTCCCTGATACTCTTAGAACTTTTCTATAACATTTCAGATGTCTTGATCAGCTCTGGTCTCTTTACCCTAAAGTAAGCAGTCAAGCCAAAAGTCCTGTGCCATGCTAATATGCAGATGCAGTTATGGCCATCTCCTTTGATCACTAGCAGCATGGATCAGGTTTGTACCCTTGACACGCTTAACCCTCCTGCCCTGAGAAGCAGCAAAACAGACACTCCTGGTAGGAGTTAACTTCCTGTAAATGTCAGATAACATTAAATTACAATTTTCAGCTGCAGCGATATTTGCTGTTAGAGATAAGAAATGCCCATACAAGTGATGTGTACAAAGTTTCACTCACTATGTGGTTGTGCAGTGCTGGAATCATGTAGCGGCTTTATAACTAGGTATACATTTGGAGGCCCACCAGTGGTCTGATGACATGTGGTTGAAGAACACTGGACTAAATTAACTAACCAATCAACCATACTGACATATTTAAAGGGACCATGACTTACTTCAAGTACTGTACATTAGTAAACTCATTCTCTCTCTCAATAAGGAACTGCCTGACAAACTTTTCCCGACTTGACGCTGGTTTCTCAGCAGAATTAAATTCAACACTCCATGATATTCCTAGCTGTTTTTGTACAGATTCCATTGAGTCTGTGAATTCCTCATAACTGTTGTTGAAGAAACACTATAAATTAGCAACATATACTTTAAAAAGTGCAGCATCAAAATATAAGTGTTAAATACATTCTGAGAACTCTGCAGAATGCAACGTTTGCAAACTCAATCCTACCAAAAACATATTTATCAGTATAAAAGCTGTGATTATGCAACAACTATATAATAATAAATCTACAAGGAAACAATAAACTGAAACCACCCCCCCCCCCCCCCCCCCCGGGGCAAAAAAATAAACAAACTGCTGCCAGTTACTGCCTGTATTTACCACTTTTGAGGGGGGGGGGTAGGTTCTGTTCTTAACCTGAAGATTTAGGGCTGCATGGCCAGTACTGTTGCCGAGGGCTGTACAGGTCAGGATTTTTTAGTCCCTAACATAAAATATTGCTGCATGAGAGCCCAGTGTTCTTAACTGTTCAGCCAACCATTTCTTCTCCTTTTTTTTTCCTTAAACGACCTATGATTATAAATCTACTCTGACAATAAACACACCATCATAAATTTTCCCTAAGACAAATAAGATATAAATCCACCCTGAGACAATTACGCTATTATCATAGCTTATCTTAGACAATAGCTGACATATCTACTCATGACACCCATAATTTAAACATCTTGGCTGAGGCAACAGATATCTCATTATAAATGTGCTCTCAGACAATGCCCTCATCACATTTTAGGATGTCAGTTACAAAACATCTTAAATCAATGAACAAATGAATGAATGAAAAAATGAACACATGTCTTAAATCAATCAAGAACTGATATAACTGAACTCATAAACATTCCTACACATGTTCTGTGGCTTTCTTCAGCAGACAAGAAACAGGTCCCTGAATCTCAAAAGAAATAAACCAGATGCTGCAGACTTACGTATTGACAGACTTATCCAAGGAGTCTCTGCTGGCACTTCTGTGGGAGGGCTGTAAAGCTGAGTTAGATGCTGTAGGCTGAGAGGCTATGGGTGTGCTGTCCTCATACCATGTGGTTTGCCTGCTACCTGCATAAATAGTGGAGTTAAGCTGATTTATAAGAATATGAGGACAACCCCATAAGCACTCTATCCCAATCTTCCAACTCCAGTGGTACCAGTAGCATTTGGATTATATGGGATTTGAGTGTATGAACAGAATCCAGTCAGTAAGTCAGGTTTTGGTATTTTGTCCAATTCTGGACTTTGGACATGTTGCGGAACTTGAGTTTTGCATGCACATCAGTTGCCTACTGCTGAATTGAACCCAGCATGTTGGAATGTTTCTTCTTCTCCATTCGCCCTTAAAAGGGCTGCTGGCATTCTGTGGTTGACAGCTAAGCTGTGAAATTTTCACCTTTTAGCCCTACAAGGCCGATTTCAGCAAAACCTCAATTAGTCACCTTTTATGATATTCTTTAAAGGAGCAGAGAGTCTATTATTTCTCTCCCCCCAAAAGAGGGAGACACAGTACCCACACAGAGAGTTGAAGTTGTGAGAAACTGCTTATACTGTGGTACCTTGGTATACAACCTTAATCTGTCCCAGATCCTTGAACACATACCAAACAAATTATCCCACAGGATATAAAAGGAGAATGAAGTGATTAATCTATTCCCATGGCCAAAAAAAAAAAGAATCCTATTGTTATTGCCATATTATACATCTTTAGGGTTGTATAAAATAATTTAAACACAGCTTAATACTAAAATATAGTCATTCGATTAAATAAATCTTTTGTCTCTACCCCCTACTCCCCCATTCCTATGGAATACAGACCCTCAAGTTGACTTGTCCTTTGTAATTGCATGCAGCTCACCTCCTTGTCCACTCCATTATTTTAAACCTCACTCTCTGGTTTCCTTCTCCATGTGGGCTTTTTTGGGGTCTGTCTTTATTTGTGAGTTATGAGTTGGATTATCTTCACAGCACTCCGAACACATCCCCAACATAATCATCAGTGCCGCATGGTTAATAGTGCCAGTCCTATGCTGGTTGAAAAGACTTTGTGTGCATCCAGTGTGCTTCTCATGTTTGGCTGTGCCGATCTTTGCTCCTAATTCTCGTATTCTTAGCTGTGATGCGGACACGTTGCTTCCAAAATCCTCTTAAAGGGCATTGAGAATGTCTGCATGATCCATGGGCAGGGCCATCTTCAATTAACTCAGCACTTGCCAGTCTATCAGCTCTTTCATTACCAACAACACCTGCATGCCCTGGGACAAATGTGAAGGTAACTGCACACACAGGAGAGTTTGGCAATGACTTAATCCATTGATTGCATAACCAGTCTGCCTCGACCCGCCGAATCATGCTAAAAGAATCACTCAGCACACACACGTAGGAATAGTCCTGTGATTCTAGCCACATGAAAGCTTGTGTCACCGCCATTACCATGCATCTGGTAGTTATGGAGAAGGCACCGCTGGCTTCTCGAACTGTTCTGCCTAAAGAGCGAGCTGTAAATGCCCATGCACTCTTATGTCCTTGTAATCTGACACGTCTGTGAAGATCAGCACATGTCTCACCCGACTTGTCACTGATAAGCGTGCAGATCTCGACGTTGACAGCAACGGGATTTTGCTCCCGGCAACTTCTATCAAGCTTGACAAAACACGAGAATGTGAGAATGGGCACTTTAGATGCTGGTATCCATTCCTCACCTGGATGGATATCTGTAAGGCTGCAAACCTGCATGATGTCATCCTCTGCCCTACCCAGCCTTGATTTGCCCCTCTTAAGTCTATTGTCCTTTTTCCTAAAGAGCATGTGTTGCAAAGGGTGCTTCAGATCTGAGCTTTTGAGGTAAGCCCTCCAGATCTTGATCATGTAGATTATGCTAGGCAAGTCTTATAGTGTAAAGATATTCTAGTTTATCATGCAATTTACCTGCAGTTTTAGCCTGGGTTACACCTTGTGACTGACTGACATGCCTGAGTGGATCGAACACATCATCAGCAAATGGGTTACTACTGTTAGATGTCCGGGAATCAGTCTCATCAAAAACTTGACACTCTCTCCTGTATTTCTCCAACCACTGAAAAGTCTGCTTCCCTGGGGCAGACACTGGCCCTAAAGATAAGGAGAACAAGGTAAAATAATATATAAAGTGATGTTTCTCTGTGTGGGTCTGATGTTCTATTCTAAGGAAAAAAAGACCTTCTGCTACCAACATGCATGTCAGAAGTATCAAGAAACATTTAGAGTTTGCTAAATTAGATTTGTTGGGCAGAAAGGCATAAATATCACAGCCTAGCTGCAAAGGGGGTGAAAAAGGAGTGAGAAGAACACTGGGCTTTTATCAGGGAGGACCAGTGTCAAATGTGTGCCAAGCTAGTGGGATTTCTTCTCTTAGGACAAAAATACATTTCTAACTTGCACAATTCATGCCAACCAGTATATAACCCAAATTTCCAGGTTAAAAATAACACTGAGCCCCTTTTAGTCCTAGATAATTAGTTTTTTTTTAAACAGGTTGGTGAGAGGGGGAGGCAAGATGAATAAACAGAACAAGGAGAATGCAGGAGGGAAGAGGTGGAGAAGCAGCAAAAGAGTAAGAGGAGGAAAAATAATAACAACAACAAGTGGAGAAGGAAGAAGAAGACCTCCAACACTAATACATCTATCGTGAACTCCAATAATCCACAGATGAGCTAATGAAACAGAAAAGTAGTTGATGGAAATGATAATTACGGGAAACAAAGTTAAAGTTAAAAGTCCAGAGGGTCACTTCATTGTACTGAGTTATATCCCATATGTCTTGGTTTCTCTACAGAATGGCTAGCTGTCTGCCGAGAGCATTACACAAAGCACGAACTCTGTATCTCCAGCGATGATCCTCAAGGATCTCTATAAAAATTGCACTTGTGTGTGAACTTAATGATGCAGCCATGAAACGATTTATGTTTATTCAACGGATCAACATCATGGCACTTCTAACTCAAGTTTGAGGCTGAAGAATCTCAGTGCCTTGCACAAACTCTGTTCCACTGGCAAGATCTTGAAATACTTTGGGTAGATTTTTAACTCCAAATTTTGCCCTGGCAGCGTCGTTAGGCTACTCTTTTTGATTTCCAACTGCCAAGGGATTTTTTTTGTTCGCAACAATATACACGGGCATCTGATCTTACTACCCAGAGATCAGGGGAAATTAATAGAAGTCCACGTGAAGAAATCTCAGCCTTCACTGCTGCTTGAACCTGGGACCTCCAGCACTTGAGGCGGACACCATACCTTGAGACCACTCAGCGCCCCATAAAACGAACACATGACTTTCAGAGTGTGAGGCAAATGGCTTGACCATGTCATTATGGGAAACAAGATAAAACTGATGACAAATAACAATACTAACTGTCTTTAGTCAGACTAACAATCTTAGTCAAAAACGCTGTGCTTGTATCCAGGCGAGGTAGCTCCAAGAGAACATGCTTATCTGCTGACCTCAAGTGTAGATGATAGTCTGCAACATAAATATGGTACCGTCACTACAATACAATGTAACTGCCACAATATAAAAATATCTGCAACTAAATATAAAGTTTAAATAATGCGGATACAAACAATACACTGCACAATTTACTGCCTGGCATATTTTGCTGTATCTCGTCAGGCGCATTGCTACAGAGTTAAATCAACATATAAGGAAGAAAAAAGAATCATTTTTACTGAAATACATGAATCGCAGTCAAGTTACTGTACATCTCTCCAATAGAAATTCAAGATCAACAATGTAATTACCATGGTGCCTTCAAACTTATTTTGCGATCTTTTTCTTTTATATAAAACAGAAAAGTTCATTATTCTGTAGTAATGCTACTGATCAGATACAGTGAAATATGCCAGGTAATAAACTGTGAAATGTATTGTTTGTGTCCGCATTATACTCTCTCTGCAGAATGGTTCTGATGTTTTATTGATAATGTCTTAATTGTAGACCTTAAATTAATTCCCTACCTGGCTGCAGTCCATCCTTGTTGATTGGTGTTTCTGGTGAGGAGAAATATTACATGTCTTAATTTTAAAAAGCATTTAGATATGGCTGAACATTATACAATTGTTAACTGCGAAGAATCATGCAATCAGCTTGTTATAAAATAAAAAACTTAAATCTATTTTGATAAAACATAAATAATGTTTGTGTAATTCTCTTCTTAACGTTCACCAGCTGAAAACTATAGCACAAAGTCCAGGCTGTTTATCCAGTTCTGGGCTTTTCCCTTGTTTTAGGACTTAAGAATCAAGCTTGTCATAAAATAAAAATATGAAATGTATTTTGATAAAATGTAAATAATATACGTGTAGTTCTCTTTTTAACACTGACCAGCTGCAAGCTATGACACAAAGTCCAGGTTGTTCGTCCAGTTCTGGGCTGTAGCCTTGTTTCACGACTTAAGTGTTGCGTCATATCCTGTTTTACAAATATGGTTTATTTGTGTGCAGACTGCTGGCTTCCTGCCTTTCTGGCAGATGCATTTGGACTATAAAGGAAACACTGACCATTTCTTTGTTTGCCAGAGCCCTGGGAGGGAACCTTTTTCTAGGATGACTACAAACAGGTATAGAAAGGTCTCAACCAGTTCATACTCTTGTCCTAGTGCATAATCAGGTGTGGTTCAGCATCTGTGCATCCTATATATGTGTATCAACATGGCACGTAATGCACAAGGGGTATAAACTGTCAGATCCTCAAATATAACAAGCCATTACATGTAATGCCATGTTAGATCTTCACATTTAGCAAGCCACTACATGTGATGCCCTGATAGATCTTCATATATAACAAGCCACAGGAAGTGATATCTTGTTAGATTTTCAAATACTACAAGGCGATGATGTGCTACCATTATTATCTTGGTCTGTTTCAGCGTTTTCTCCCATTCAACTCTTCTATGTACATAGTTTTTGTCTCTCTGTTATCTGCAATTTTTATAATACTAATATTTAATCTAAAAATTGACTTGTAAAGAAAATCATTCTGCAGAAAATGCTTCTATACTACCTGCTTTGTGCCGAAAACCAGAGTCAACAGCAATAATAACTTCAAGGCTCAGATCGCTTGACTGTAGACATGGTATACGGCTTGAGGTAAAGATAAACAAGCTGAAAAGACAGAATATCAAAAGAAAAAGGGATGCTGCAATCCTATAGAGTAAGAAAAAAACAAAAATCCAAAAGAGTACTTTATGATAAACAAATTACCAGCAGCTCTTCTATAACAACTCATCTCTATTGTTATGATTTTGCACTCGTTAGTCTCACTAAGGTTCTGTGTGTGATATTGGGAGCATAAAGATGGCAAACAAATAGTTATTAGATATGCCTTGTTAGACAAAGCTATATTTCTATGTGTGAATACTTAACCCAGTCACACAGTTCGTTAAAGATCAAAAGATGAGATAGTTTAGCCATCTGATGAGAATACCCTGGCACCAATCGCCGCAGAGAGTCATGCTGAACAAATACAATGAACACAGATCAAGGGGAAGATCACACAAAAAGATGAAACAACGGCGTTAAGAACAGCTTTAAAAAATGATGACTAGCTTATACAACCCATAAGAAGGACACAGGGAAGATCCTTACAGCTCCCCCAAACACTTTAGTGAAGTAACTGGCAGAGGAGAAAAAGAATAAGAAGAATGAGAAGACTTAACCAAGTCAATATATTAAAATATATGGTGGTAACCACAACACTAGATGGAAGATGTATGTCAGATTAAAAGGATAAGCCAAGACTTCAGTGGCTAGACCATTCTTGTCACTCATTCTCTCTTTAGGTCAATCTTGATCAAACTGCCTCCATCATATCTTATTCTCAGCAACTCTCTTCAACTCAGTATAAGTCTGTGCTCAACTATTTATGCATACTTGTGAAAGATCCTTTTTTCTGGGACACTCTTTTCTTTCTTACTGATGGACAGTTTTCCCTTGGACAGCCTCTTTTTTCCTTTCATCATCCAGTTTTTTTTTTTTTTTTAAAGAACACAAACTATCAACAAAATATTTACCCATGCTCCCGGCTTCTCTCAACAATGGCAGCATATCGCAGAAATCTTTTTCCTTCATCAATTCGCACACATTCTACAGCCTGGAGAGTAAAGGCACATTAGAAGATCTTTGTTCCGATCTCTGACAACACTTTTTAACTGTCAGTACAATTACACTGTATTGTGCAGGCAGAGACCCAGACAAAGACCAAGCAATTAAAAAGCTGAACTGATTATATGGAGATGTGGATATACAGAATAACAGTTAAACGACCAAGGTCTTAGTCTGAATAGTGGGGGGGGGGGGGGGTGGGGGGGGGGGGGGGGGGGGGGGGGGAAGAGTAGTTATAAAGAGAATATACTTAAAGTAAATGCAGCAAATCTCAAGCAAGTTGACACATTTAAATACTTAAGTACCATGACAGCAGGTGGAAGGTGTGTCAAACATGTGTATAGAAAGCTCACACAAAAGCAGTATTTCACACGAGCAATATTTTATGCAATCTTATCTTTCCTAAGGATTTTTTTTTGGGGGTCAAAACTGACCATTGCTTCCAAGTAGCATAGCTATAAATGGATACCATACAATTTCCTGGGAAGAAAAGATGGCCGGCATGATGATGACCATATCACTCAACAACTGTCATTTTGGGTGAAACAGGATAGACCTACTTCACTCCCCCCACCCCCCCACCTTTTCCCAATCCCAATAAATCGTAAATGGTGACTAATTAGGGGTTTGCTGAAATGAGATGTTTTGGGCTTAAAGGTGCAGACATTTCAGTCTAGCTGTAAACCATAATACATTGTATCTGCCTTTAAGATAGAATGAAGAAGAAGAAGAAGAGAAGAAGAAAAAAAAAGAAGATAACAAATTAAAAAATACAAGTTGAGGTTTCAACACACACAAATAATTCAATTAAGTATTAAAAAGATGATTGAAAGCAATGAAATAAAATAAACGTGGAGATACCTGTTTACAGATAACATCCTGGCCAAGTTTCTTCTGTACCAGTTTGGTAATGTCAATGGCAGGTTGCGATGACAAAGGCACATAGAACATTTCTGAATACTTCTTTGTCTGAGTCTAATCAGATTTTTGTGTGCAACCAACTCTGGCAGTTGAATTTCTCACACAGCAACTGAGCTGTTATACAGGAAAAACACATGAGATAAGCGACTAACTATTCAAAATGGTTATAATTATAAAATTCACAGCGATCCAGGTAAGTACCACCTATTTGTTTCATTCTGTCATGTATTATTATTAATTTGTTATATTTGTTTTACACAATATTTGAATACCATAATGTAGTAATTTCAAAATGTTCATTTTTGTGTTGTGTTTTGTGGATGAATGCTAATTCCTGCAATGTCCTTACTTTGTTTATTGTATTTTAATCTGTGAAACTGACATATACTTTTGTTACTAGCTTTCTTTGACTAACCACTGGATAGTTTCATTAACTCAGGCACAGACAGTGAGCAAAGCAAAGCACCCTTTGTAACCAGTGGCACATTTTCCATATGATGCTATATTTATTTTTTTAGACCACCAACTGGTAACTTGATGGGTGACATGGTCAGCATAATGCCAGCCACCTTTACCATCCAAGACATTACTTGATACCCACTTTAGCCTGAGCTGACTTGGTAGCCATGGTCAATTTATTTTAAAAATAAAAATCGGTCATAATGTTGGATTTTGGGGCTTGTTACTTGGGATGGAGTTGCCAGTGTGATATCAACACTCCTTAGTTACTTATGATATGATAACTGCAAAGTTACCATTCTCTGCCTCCCCCTTATAAGGCTTATGGGTTCCAGTTCCAGTAACAACCGGTGAACCTGTAACTCGTTATTTGCGAATATACCACTGCGATTTGTTTAGCTTACAGGTCGACCTGGTGTATTTAAATCAACCTAGAGAGTTTAGCTTTAAATTCTGAGGCCTATACTTATACTATATACTATAATATCTACAGCGCCTTATACCCATAATATGATAACTGCACATTTAAGTCGAAACCTAATTTTGAAAACATATTTGTTTAATCTTGAAATCTTAACTTATTTTATACTTGTACGCAGCAATTTACGTTAATTCGGTTTGAATTGTATAGTATAATACTAATAAGTATAGTTGTATACAAATGAAATCAAATTGTAACTTCAGTCTGTCACTGCATCCAGTTTTATCAACGAACATAATCAAACGGTAACACTACACCACATAACACAAATCTATACCTAACGATCAACTGCACCGATCATCGCCCTACTGTCCTAACCTTTTATTGCCAATCATTGATCAACGAAGACACTGTATTGATTATGATTATTGCGGCCCTGCCCTGTCGTCTGTTGCAGTCCATTGATCACAGGAGTTACTGTCCCTGCCTTGTGAAGAAAACTTCCGGCTACGGATCCACTTTTTAAAAATCAACAGTTTGTTATTGACCCGGGACGAATGATCCATCAACAAAAGCCTGGGAAATGTTGAATGTGTATGCTGAAAGGCTAGAATATCGCAGTTATACAAAACGAAATGAGACTCAAGCTTAAAAAAATTTAGGACAAATGCAGAAGTGGACACTCCTCTCCCTTCTACCATTTCGTCTTCTACTTTCTGACTCAAAATTATTTGAAAAACAGTCTAAGAATATGTTGTACTTTAAAAAAGTTTGCGAGCCCGTTGCAGAACCAACCCCAGCATTTCTTATTTCGTATGCTGTGGGTTTTCTAGGCAAATTTACGTTCAATAGTTTATCATTGACGGCTAAACGCTCTCGATACCACCGTCGAAACAAACCAAGCAGGCATGCTGACAATTTAAAAAAAAAAAAAAAACAAGCTGGGATTTAACCTCGGCATTACGAAGCACATTTGCAACGTCTAATCCACAGACACTGATAAAGTAGCTTAAAACGAGGAGATAATCTGGTCTTTCGGAGGCCACAAAAAACATTTTCCAATCATTTTTTGATAGCATATCCGTCCCGGGGTCAATAACTAACTGTTGCTTTCAAAAAGTGGATCCGTTCTGTAGCTGCATATCGTTTACATGATTTCGCAGAACCAACTGTGTCAGTTTTTGGTTGTTAGGGTTTTTCTAGGTATATTTTACGTTAATTAGTTTTGCTTTTATCCGTGAATGCTCAGTTCTCGGTACCACTGTCGAAATAAAACGCAAGACGGTCTGCTGCCAAATCGCCTGCAGCTGACATCGAGCCCAGCAATCCCAGCATTACAATACCCAAGAAACAGAATATAAAATACCAATGAAGAAAAACTCTTTATATCCTAATTATAACTCGGAAAGGTTGAACGGATATGGTTAATTAAATTGTTTCTTTTCTGTCTTCTCCTTCTCTTGTTGAATCTTTGTATTCTTCTCCTCCTCCTACTCTTTCTCCTTCCCATCCTCTTCATACTACTTCTCTTCCCCCTCTCACCCTCTTTCTTCTTCTTCTAGTACCTGGTTTTAAACTTACAATAACAGTAGTAATTTTTCGGTATCAGCAGTTCGTAGCTTTTATCAGTGGTGGTGGGGTTGCTTCTGACATTTTTAGTTATTGTTTTACTAATGTGTAAAACGACTGTGTGTGTATGTGTTTAAAACTGCGACTGCCCTAGTGTACTGCCCTATCTTAAGCGGACGAGCAGTGTAAAAGAAAATTAGCTGATAACCAACATCTCTGTTAGTGTAATATGTTAGACCACAACCTTCTCTAATTAGAGACGGCGTTGGTTAGACTGACATCTTAACTATGAGCGTCAAACATGTACGGACTCCAGACACCCCGTCCAACAGTAAAACCTGTGACAATCGACGTTTACATATCGTCCAGCGTGTGTGTGGAGGTCATTTGTTGTAAGAAATACTTTTACCCCTATGAAAACAAGCCCAATGTAACAGAACATAACCCCTGACCCGCAAGTGTGGTGGAGATGTATCGATGCAAGCACCAGCACACAAAGCCCATCATCTTCCTATGTCTTCCGCTTAATGAATAAGTGTTAGTTAGATAGTTAGTTGACAGATTATCACCAACGCTCATCGAACGATTCAGTCCATAAGTGCACAGATCCCCTCTTCAGTATCTCCCACAGCGTGTGGTGGCTTATGACGACACCTGTGTTGGTTTACTATTCTTCTTTGGACCCCTGTGTGACGTTCTTGTCTGGCTTCACTCCTTCTAAAGTTATGTTCGTGGTCCCGTCAGTTTTGCATATTCATATTCCATTCTTGATTCGTTTGATCGAGTCGCCTCTCTTGAGGCATTCAGTATATCAGCCCCATGAATAAGTTTATGAAAACTTAGCCCTGTCCATTTCTTGATGTTGTCATTCTATGTTCTTCTTTGCCCTCCTCTTCTTCGACTACCCCCACCCCCAAATGTTCCTTGAAGTATAGTTTTTGCAGAAACAACCAGGGTTATTGCCTTGCCGTTGGCTCCTTATCGCCAGCCGATAGACAACTAAAATTCCCCTGTGGAGCATGGCTCTCATTTAGCTTATAAAACACTCTAATTAAAGGGAATTAATATTTGGAATCGGGAAACAATAATGAGTAATATATTATGTCCCCTTTTGTTGCATAAACACCGAAGACAGATTTTTAGATCAAATGAGCAAATAAAAAAATAAAATAGTCCCTCATTCTCACCCCCCCCCCCGCTACCCCCCCCCCCTGCCCAACAAGCATGTCATAAAAGGAGTCTAACGGGGTGTGTGCTGAAATGGGATGCGTTGGGCTAAAAGGCGCAGATATCGCAACCTTGCAATAAACCAAAACAGAATGTGCCAAACGGCCTTTTGAGGACGAACGCAGAAGTAGAGATGAAGAAGAAGATCAGGGACCACCATAGTGCAATGACTAGAACTTTGCTTGCCGAACCGACGATCTTGAGTTCCAGTCTGTAATTGAAATAACTAACAGAATGTCCAAGGAAGTAATTGCGGCCTCCGAGTATCGATCTGTCCTTGAAAATATGAATATATTGCCGGATACCCGATGGGCTAAAGGTGAGTATATGATCCTTTAGGTTATTTCGTTGTCTTCGTGGGCACTTGCACTTAAAAAGGTGGTTGGCACGTTGTATTATTGTTTTCAGCTAGCCTGCGATATCTGTGCTTTTCGATCCAACACATCTGATTTTATCAAACCCTAATCAGTGGCCTTTTATGACATGCTTGCTTTTGGGTAGTGAGTCTACTGTTTTACCCTCCCCCCTCCTCCAATGGGGCTCTAAAACAAATAGATGGTCTGTACTTTATTTTAACTTACACTAACTTAATTAATTAAAATAACCTCCCTCTCTCTCTTTCTCGTTCCCTTCCGCTTTTTATTTTAAACAAATTTAGCATATTCTGCTGCTCATTAAAAAAGAGTCCCTACTCATTTAATCGAAAACTTTTTCATTTCGTGGTCACCAGTGATTATATGCCACCTTAAATGTAGGTAATGATCCATATTACCTTATCAATTTATAATTAAATAAAGTGTGCATGATATGAATGTATGCGTATGTGTGTGACATGTATGCACATGAAGGCGTATTTGTGTATGTATGGGTGCGTGTGTGTGTGCGTGTGTGTGTGTGTCTATTTGATAATGTGGGCTTGTGGCTCTGTGTGTGTTTGTGTGTGTCTGTTTGTGTGTCTGTATGCGAGTGTGTCTACGTGTGTGACTGTGTGCGTGTCTCTGTGTGAGTGCTGTGCATGTCACTGTGTGTGTGTGTCTATGTGTGTGTGTCTGTGTTCGTTTGTGCCTGTGTCTATGTGTGTGTCAGCGTATGTGTGTTTGTGTGTGCTTGTATATATGTGGGTGTGTTTGTATGTGTGTGTTTGTATATGTGTCTGTGTGTTGGGCTGCGTGTGTGTGTCTGTGTGTGTGGCTTCGTATGTATCTGTGTGTGTGTGTCTATTTCATAATGTCTGCGTGTGTTTGTTTGTGTGTGTCTGTTTGTGTATCTGTGTGTATGTCTGACTGCGTTTGTGACTGTGCGTGTCTGTATGTGTCTGTGTATGATGTGTATGTCTCTGTCTATATGTGTGTGT